GATGGTGTGGGGCAGATCATTGGAAGATCAGCTGCTGAGAGCTCCAAGATAGGGATGGATCCGGAAAGCTTCTGAAAAGTCTGCGATGATGTCACTGATATTTAGACATGAATAAATGGATTTACTTTACTTTTTTAATGAGGGCTACAAAACAAGCCATGTGTGAATAAAACGAGTTCAGTGGTATTAAAGTGATGGATATTTAGAGCTAAAAGACCTTAAGAGTCAGATATTCATAACCACACTAGTTTAGCATCAATATAAAAAAAATGGAATGAGAAAGTTTCACCTTCCTAATGACCAAGTGTTAGGAACTTTAAGACTCCTGACTGACCCAGTTTTCCTTCCAACTGGAGCTACTGTAACTCCTGGGGATCTTGATAATAGCTTTCCATGCTTTACAATTAGTGACACTCACCCAAGATCCCTTAATTAAGCCTCCCAGCACCCCATTTTACAGATGGAGAAAGTGAGTCCCACAGAGGTGAAGTGACTGGCCCCAGGGCACAGACAGATCCTGGAGCAAAACTACTATTTGAAACTCCCAGAAGGGCCTGGATCTCAGGTCAGCATTCAGCCCACACCCAACGTTCAGTCCCCTATTCATCCCTGCTGTAACCCCATTGAAGCAAGTGATGAATTTAGCACCTCAAATCCACCAGCTGGGCTCTGAGCTACTAGAGTTTGCAGGGCTTCACTGTGACAGCCTAGTTTCTAATATTTGCTGGATCATGTGAGGAACAGTAGCCGTAACTATTTGTACTGTGGCAGAACCTAAAGCCCATAGTCAGGACTGGGGGACGGTTGTGCTGGGCGCAGTAAGGAGACAGCGACAATCCCTGCTCTGACGTGCACTAACCCGAGAGATTTCAGTCCAGCCCCCTGAGGGAGACTGCCTCACAAAACTACCGTACGTTTTGCCCTCCTGCTATACACGCCATGCCCTGCTGGAGAATGCCAGAAGCTAACTTCCTGGGCTGTCAAGCCAGCACCTATCGTCTGCACTCCATTGATAGCAGTATATTTAAGGCACACAGAGTCCATTAAACTAAGCAGTGGGGTTTGTCTGAATGGTGTTAATTCTCTGCTCACAAAAATCCACTTTAGCATATTACCCATTCTGCTGCACAATCTCCTGCAACTCCCACCAAAAAAATCCATCAGTCGTTCAAAGTTCTTCAGCTTCTAAGTCTGATCAGTTCCAAGAGCACCATCAATCAGCACAGACAAACAGTACGCTTCTAAGGTTAGCTCGCTATAAAACTAGTCACAAAGCACGGCTGAAGGGGAAGGTAGAGGACTATCATTTTTCTGATGGTAGTTTGACGTAGGTGGTTAAAATGGCCTTTCGTTGAGTTAGCTCCCCATTTTAAAAAATGGAGCTTAAAAAAAAAAGGGATTTGTGCATGTAGCTAAAGTTGGAACACTTGAGCTTTGTAGCCTCTGGGTTTTCAAAACACCCACTTCTTGAGCATTTCCTTGCTGGCACCATCCTCCCTTTGAACTTTGACAGTGGACTGAACAGGATTTTACTGACGTGTTTACCAGCTAAGAAATATAAAATGGGAACGAAGCCAAACTTGCTGGAGAAATTTCTTGGCTTATGTTTTTAGACTAAAAAAGCAACAGCTCTAAAATAGCTCATGATTGTCTGAGAGGCTGTGCAATTTACACTAGTGCCACCAAAATCCATGGGCCCCTCAAGTGCATTTTTAACACTTTTATAAAACAGAAGAGAGCACTGGTTTCCCTTGTGTTCATTCCTTCCCCTGAGGTTTGCTGCCTACGCACAGAGTCCCATGGACTCAGCAGAAAGTTGTCAACCTACTGTGTAAAGTGCTGTTTATGTGATTCTTCTCTGAACTTTGCTTGGCTAGAAGTTTTCCCCACAGTCCTTTAACTCCCCAAAGGGCAGCCTCAAAAGAAAAGCCCTGCCCCAGCCCTTGGTACTTTCCAGCATGCAAAAGACTCTGCTACATACTGTGACAACTCTTCTAATTCTTGCCCTGACCACATCACAGCGAGTTGATGCACATCTCAGCCATCCCACAGAGCAAGGTTTTATACCCACTCAAAATAAATACATGGCTTCTGAGCGTGCCTCAGGAGCTACACACTAGGCGGCGACGTATTGAGCTGCCAAGCCAGCTGTCATTTCAATGTCTCCAGGAGCTTTGTTTTGGCGGGAATGGGGAGGCTGACCGTGCACACTTACAAAATGCTTGTCAAACCTGTGCCAAGAGGACTTTTTCCCATTGCTTTAAACTACACCAGGGGTTCTCAAACTTCATTGCGCCGTGACCCTCTTCTGGCAACAAAAATTACTACACAACTCCAGGAGTGGGGACCGAAGTCCTGCCACCCGGGTGGGGATGGGGGGGGGGCAAAGCCGAAGGGCTTCAGCCCCAGGCAGGGGGCCTGTAACCTGAGCCCTGCCACCCAGGGCAGAAGCCCTCGGACTTCGGCCCTGGGCAGCGGGGCTCGGGCTTCGGTCCTGGAGGCCCAGCAAGTCTAACGCCAGCCCTGGCGACCCCATTAAAACGGGGTCACGACCGACAGTTTGAGAACCACTGAACTACGCGGTCTCAAGACCAGCCTCTGCACTGGGCAATTCTTCTGAGAAAAGCAAGTCCCGCCTCTCCTAGTGAACGAATCAGTATAAACAATAACTTACGCGAGACCAGCATTTCAAGGAAAAAAATGTTCTCAGCGAAAGCCAGTATGAATCAAATTCCCTTCGGTGGGAAAGACAGGGGTGGGAGAGCGAAAGGACAGTATTCAGCAGGGCTGGCTGGAAAACAGTAATTGTGCTTCATGAAGAATTTCAAGGTTTGAAGTAGCCTCTTTGAATTTTTTAATGAAAAAACACCAAAGATCCAGACTAGCCAAGTGGTTAGGTCACTCACTGGGTATGTCGGAGAGACAGGTTCAAGTGTGGCTTTGCAGCAATGCTTTTCCATCACAGAGCTCTTTAAATCAGGCAGAGCAGGGACTTGAACCGGGGATTCCCACATCCCAGGTACGTGCTCTAAACATTTGGCTGTAGAATGAGAGAGGCAGGAATCAGACATTTGCACACTTGCTCCTATGCACACAGGCCCGTATGTTTCAGCTTTGATGAACCAGCATATTCTGGAATTACATTTCATCAGACTGTTCCCATCATTTCTACGTACTACAGCCCACACAAAGAACTAGGTTACAGAGTAAGATTGCAAACATTCAAGAAATTAGGAAGTGCCAGAATTAAAGATGCCTATGCAACCTTCATTTGCCCCGATGGCATTTCCTAGCTTTGAGTGCTTAACTTTGCAATTTAATAAGGTTCTTTTAATAGAACGTTGTGTGTCATTTTCCAACTTTTTAAAAAAAGCAAACTGGAAAAAACCGAGAAATTCCTTGAGGTGGCCTCCGAGTGACACCCACATGGGTCATCAGCAGGGGTGGAAGCTTTAGATCGACCACACAGAACTCTGTCACTGGAGCTAACCGAGTAACTGATAGCCGCAGGATGTTGTCATCCCCGATGAGAGCCGGCATGAGAAGGGGATGGAGAACACACTGTGCCCCTGGGGTTCACAGAGACTTGCCGACGGCAGAGGAATGGGGAGATTCAGGAATCTTGGATTGTGCTCTGGGGTCTGGATGGGAGTGTGCTCCAGCGGGCACAGACTTTTCTAACCCATTCCTTCCAAGTGTGACCCCTACTATCCCATCCCCTCCAACCTGTCTTGTCTCAGTTCCACACCCCTGGCTCCTCATCCCACTCCAATTCTCAAGTAGCTCATCCCAATCTCTACTCCTCAAGATTCTCATCCCAGTCCCCAACTCTTTACATGGCAAGGTCACCCCTCAGGACTCCCCCTCCCAATTTCCTCTCATTCTCCCCCGTTCCCAATCTCCTTGCCCAGCCAGTTCCAGTCTCCCACACCCCAACTCCAGTTTCTCTCCCACCCACTCTGCCAGCCTCCAGTTTGCATCTCCTCCCACCAGACTCCTTGTCCCAATCTATTCCCCCTGCATTCAAACGAGGCATCCTCCTCCTCCATGTGTTCATTTAGAACACAGGAGAGACAGGCTCCTTGCTCTCAGTTCTGATGCTTGGCTTTGCAGCAGCTCAGAGCTCCAACTACAGGGAAGTTCTGCTCAGCCCCGGGCTGGAACAGGCCCCAGTATAGATGGAACCTTCCGTGAATTTAGCTGCAAAGCTCTAGCAAGTCTCTACTGAGCATGTGCAAGCTGCAATTTTTCAGAAGTTTATAGCTTGGCCAAATGTGGGCAGATTTTCATGGGAAAGGCAAGAGGCACATCCCTGGCACAAAGGCTACCCCCTGCCAAATTTCAAGACTCTGCTCCAAAGGATGGGGGCACTAGAGCTTCTCAAAGGAAAAGTCGCCAGAGTTGGTTTTAATATGGGCAAGACAATGAATTTTTCTCTGAAACTTTTTGGCTGAAATTTCCTCTACCCCCCCGCAAAACAACAACAAAACCCCCAGCCTAAGGCAGACACTTGGATTAGAAAAGCTGGTAGATCAAGGGAATTTGTTACCATATCAATAAAACAGAAGTTTTTTAAACTACCAAAAACCACATTTCTTATAAAAACGTTCAAAACGTAAAACACTACACACAACCCTAGTATTTGGGACATCATCTGACTATGTGCTTCTAACCTGCCCTCAGGCCTCTGAACCACGACATGTAATGTTAGCCTGACAGTGCAGCAAATCGCTCCAGCACCCCAATGCTGAAAATACTTAAGCATGAGAGGAAGCTTTAGTCCACCAGGACTACTCATATACATAAATTTAAGCCCAGGCTTAAGTGCTTGCAGGACTGGTGGGATCTAGTTATCTGCTTATCACAGGGATTCCTCAGTTGCAAACTGATACTGACCTCCACTTTGAGTTCTACTGATGAGAAGCGTTCAACAACAGCGAGGTATCATTAGCCTTAATGCTACCAACTAAGTGACACTGGAGAATGGAGACACAATCACGGACAATTTCAAATCAGTTTTATTTTCTTAAATCAGTGTTTTACAATTTAAAGCCAAAAAAAAGTCACACAAAACACAAATTAAAAAAAAAGTTGACAATCAAGCATTACCTTATAAAGAAGATCATCATACACTTTCTCACAAACCTGAAGATACGTGTTATTAGATTGAGGTTTCTTGAAATCTAGTTAAGACACTACATACAAACGCTGCAACAAGTAACAAACCCATAACGATAGTGAATAGACTACACTAGTAACTTCAAATTTTCTTCTTTTTTGCATTCCTTATTGTCTACAAAGCAATAAATACTATTTTTACCCCAAAAAAAGTTGGTTTCACGCTACATGCATTTAGATAACAAATAGAGTCACCAAAGTGATGGCAAAAGAAATCATCTGTCTTCTTTGTTTTGTCTTTCTCTTGTTGTTTATTTTTTAAATCCAAGCACAGTGGCTAAGTTTCAAGTATTGAGAAAATATATATAATATGTACACACACACACACACACACATACATATATATATTTATTTATATATTGGTTGAAGATCTGTAAACCACTTTTTTTTGGAGCAATATATATTTATATACGTTGAATGTGGACAAAAATTGATACATTCAAGTAATTAAGTACAGCTGGAAGGTTAGTGCTGAGCTTGCCGTATCCACGGATCGGTACACCTGTGGCATAAACACAAATCCTGGGATGCAACTGACTAATACTTGGCAATAAGCTATTAAGTTTGGGGGGGTTGGCATTCAGTGTGAAAAGCAGGTGTCTGCTGGGAAGTTTGTTCTGGCTTGCTGTTTCCACGCTGCATCCAGGTTAACGTATTGCACTTGTAGAATTGCCTATGGCAGGACTGGTGGCGATCCTTTCCGAAGTGGTCTGCTTCTTGCTTAACATCTCCAACCGCAGGTTTGTTTTTATTTTAGGCGTAGGCACACGGAGCCACAGCAACAGCAAGCTGTGAATGAATGAAGCAATGAAGGCCTGATGCTGAAGCGACACATTATGTAATCAAACTCCCCTGGAGAGGGACGGGGGTTTCTTTGCTTTTGTGTTCTGCCACCAGAAGCGTCCATCTTGCCACAGATGAAGCTGGTTCACACGTCAGAGTTGTTCCTTGCATAATATTTTGTCCAAAGAGTGTCATACAAAAACGTGCAAAAAATTACAGTGGCAGAGAGAGAGAGAGAGAGAGAGAAGTAATGAAGATTTAACCACCATGCGCAAAATGTTATTGGATCCCAAAAGCTAAGCCCCAGGTTCGCATTTCGCCCATGGAGGTTACTTTTTCCACTCAGCGCTAAGCAAATACTGCCATGACTCTGATAAGTTAAAACACACACACACAGGCAGCCAGTTTCCCGCCCCACACACGCACACACTCGCAGCATCCAAGCCTCAACAAGTCTTCAACCGCCCACACCCACAGGCCTGGTCTGGCTACACAGTCTCTGAAAAAGAAATGCTGAAGGTAACTGAACACTAAACGGGCTGGTTGGTTGGTTTTATAAAAATTAAGCAGCAAAACAATAAAAAATGCATTTTCGGTTGTAAATATGTAAGATCTCAATGTCTGTTCTTGAGCTCTTAAAAACCATGGAGCTTTGTACGGACGGTCCTTAAAAAGAACATTTAAATAAAAAAAGCCTCTTGGTACTGCTGGATTTCAAGTCAGCTTTGCCTGGCACGGAGGGGAACAGCACATGGACCGGGGGCTGCTGTTTGCTGCTCATGCACAAGATACAGTACAGTTAAATACACACAGTGACACACACTCGATATATCGATACATATTCTCCTTGAGGAATATGTATTAATATAGACACACAAACGTAGTGCAAAAGAACAACGAGGAACAAAAGAACAGCATTCCCAGCAGTCGTGAAGTTCCGGGGCCACCGTGTGATGCAAAGGCAACTTGTCAAAGTTCCCATAGTGTGTAAAGTGCTTCTTTGATTCACAAAGTTAGTGTTTTTGGGGGGCAGTGGGGGAAAGGGTTATCTAACCAACAGCTGAAAGTAGGACAGCATGGGCGTGGATATGTACTGATGGGTCAAGCTGTGCAGTCAAGGGTTTAGGATACTGACCCCAATGGGGGAAAAACCATCGGGGCTTCTTGTAACGCTAGAGTTGTTTTTAAATATATATACACAACTTTCTTGTCCTTTGTTGCTCCCCGTCCAGGTAGGGATGTGACCTGCCTCCTCATGCTTGGTACAAGGGAGCCTCCTCAGTGGCAATGCTGTTCCAGCATTGCTCAGGAAGTCTTTCGGAAGGTTGCAGCTGTCTTCAGCAACGCTCCAGGAAAAGAGATCCAGCTTCCCCACGGTACTCCTCTCCCCCACACAGGAAGTGCTCTGTGGCATGACATATACAAGAAGGGCGAGAATGGAGATGGGGCAGGGGAAAGGAGCAGCTGCAGGTCAACAGCAAGTTCCTGAGTGCTTGGCTATCAGTGGGGACGGGGAAAGTATGCAACTGGCCTTGAATTCTACCCTTCTCAATTCACTGAACAGTCCACCTGAAAGTTCCTGCTAACGGTTTCAGCACATCCACTGCCAGCAATGGATGCAGCACTAAAATACTCCAGCTCTGAGCAGGAGGGCAAGGCAGCAGCCTTGTCCTTTGAAGTGGAAGTGGGAGGAAGGGAATTCTCTCCTTCGCCCCCTCCACCAAGAGAGGGAAAAACCCGCATCTCTCCTACGTCTTCCCCCGGTCTATACGGTGGGGAAGTGCTTGCAATCGCTGCTGTCATATGTCCCCCAAAAGAGAATCCAAATCCCTACTGCGGAAAACCTTCCTGACTACTACAAATAAGATCAAGCAGTGTGTCTTGCAGGTTTCCCACAGCCAGGCTCCTTCTCCACCACTGCAGCAGGCGATCGGAAACCGAAGGCGATTGGCTGGCGTGAGATTCGTGGCAAGCAGCACTTTTAAAATCACGCACAGATCCCCGATAACAGAGCCGACAACCGGCGTTCGATACACATCTTACCTGTCAGAGAGAAAGGACACAGGAAATCAGTCTCTTGCCCTCCAGCAATATTAAAGCTAACAGAATAAGCAGGAGACATACAGGATCAGCTCCTCAGCCGATGTTAATGGATGCAGCTCTGTTAAGTCAATGGAGTTACATCCATTTACACCAGCTGAGTACCTGCCTCAAAACGTCCTCATGCATAGAGGAGCATGAGAAGTGGGAATCGTTAGAGACGTCAGAGAACAGTACTTTGGACACTGTTCCTCATTGGGACTTCGAGTTCTCAGCAAGAAAGGGCCCTAATTCGCCTCTAAAATCAGTGGGGTTGTAGCTATTTAAACCAAGGAAGTGGTTTACGCCAGTAGTGAAGATGGCTCAATATCTCAATAATATTTGCCAGTCTGGGACACAGAGAAATCAGGGTCTGATCAGACTCTTACGGAGGCAGGAAGTTCAAAGTAATGTGGGATTAATTCCTAAAGCTTCAGGCTCAAGATTCGGAATTCCTGATGTAAATAATTAACACCGGTAGGTGTATGTAGCTGGGATGTACACTGGGATCTAAAATACAGCCTGTCGCACTATAACAAGAGACACGCAAGAGAGATTGTCTCATTCAGGAAGCTGTGAAATAAACTGGGTTAAAGACCGTATGCTGTGTTGTTATAGCCGTGTTGGTCCCAGGATATAAGAGAGACAAGGTGGGTGAGGTAATATTTTTTATTGGACCTATTTTTGTTGGTGAGAGAGAGAGAGAGAGAGACAAGCTTTCTGGGACTACGTCTACCTCACAAATTACTTCGGTATAACACACATTGCTCAGGGGTGCGAATAATCCACTCCCCTGAGCAACGTAACTTACACCATCCAAAGTCGACAGGGTTACGTCGGCAGGAGAGCGCCTCCCGCCGACAGCTTCAGCTACCGCCTCTCCCACCGGTTGAGAGCGCCTTCGTCAGGAGCATGACAGTGGCGCAGCGGCATCGGTGCAGCTGTGCCTCTGTAACTGACGTAGCGTAGACAAAGCCTCAGTTAAAAAGTCAGTGACTAGATCTCTGCTGGGGAGAGGTGTCTTTCAGGTGGATTAGCCAGCGAGCTCTCTCTCTGAATAAGAGACACGCCTGAGACTGATGAGAAGTGTCTGCAATAGAAACCACACAGCATTCCTTAATAATCCAGTCAGTGCCTACCAGGCACTGTTAAAGCAGCAGTCGCCCCCCACCTTTAGTAACACTTCAGATCAGCTGTTAAAGTTTGATCATTCCTGGTATTATTTAACTGACTTATTAATAAGTATTATACATACTGTATTATTTAACTGATTGCGGGCTGGAATTCTCTTCTTTCATAAGATACCCAGTGTCACTGAACACCTAGGTGCGGATTAGGACAACCTGAGGAACAGGTGCAATCTAACTGGCAATTTTTGTGCCTCCAGGGGAAGAGTGAAGTTGGTGGCTGTGTAATTCCCCCGCCGGGAAGCCAGCCAGTTAGACAGCGATAATGGTTTTGCCATTGCAGTTACGTTGCCAGATTTAGCTTAGCCAGAGTTGCACTTAACCCACTCTCCTGCTTTTTGACATGATGCTAATTAGACTTTTCCCGCTGCCTCAGCATGCGCAGGCAGGTTCTGTAACTGAGCCATACTGACCAAGGGCAGAGAGCACGGGCTCTGGGTCCACGCTAGCTCAGTGCTCTCAGAATGACACCCAACACTCGTGACAGCATGGGGTCGGAGCAGCGGGACAGAGTGTCCGCTCACAAGGACAGAGGATGGGTGCTAACTGGGAGGGATCTGTTTGTCTTGGGGTGGGAAAACTAAAAGAGGGCTGGTTTGTTCTCTGAAGGGTACAAAGAGACGGGGGGGGAGGTGCATCAGGAGGGGTTGCAAGGAGGTAGGAGTTCAGGTTTCAGCACTGACTGCTGATGAACAAAACCTGCCTGCCACGGTCTCAGCCATTTTGGGCTCTTTGGTTAACGGAGGGGAGGGAGGATTTGGTAAAGGGTTCGCAAGCTGACACAGGGTATGTCTACACTGCAGCCGGAGGTCTGATCACAGGATGAGTGCTGCGTCATTACGGATGCTTTTAGCGGCGCTAGCATGATCAAAGCTAGCTTGGGTATAACCTACATGAGCTGCAATCACACCTCTGCCTGCAGGGGGGACGTACCCTTAGACGTGCATTCGGAAGAGCTGCCGCAGCCCTGATTGTGTAATGCAGTGCCCTTCACGCCACAGCGACTGCCGCTTTGCTTGCCCGAGTGACCAGACTAACAGTCCCAGCTGGGAACCAAACCCACACCTTCACTTCTGCCAAACCCACTGCCCTGAGCCAGCTCCTTCACGCAGCACAAGGCTGCATTACAGCCCTAGCAATCTCTCTGCCGGGGCGGCTCCCACAGGAGCAGGTCCTTACGGCAGCGTCCTGCCGCTCTGTAAGCAGGAGGCAGGTAGCTGAGCACTGAAGGAGTTATTCCAAACAAAGACATCTTTGGTGCATCCATAAGAACTTAGCCCTGGTGGAAGGAACCCTGGAGACAGACCCTGGATCCACAGGTGGAAAAATACTTGAGGCTCTAGTAAGAAACTCCGTGCCCAGCTGCTCACATTTATTGATGTTCTCGATGTCCCCCTGCTCCGTTATGATGTTCAAGAGACCCTCCATCAGCAGCAGAGCCTTCTGGTACCTCTGTGCGCAGTCCTCCCTGTGATGGAACATCTCGTCCAGGGCTGCAGACTGCACCTGTGTGCAAACCCCGCCCAGTTACTCCATGCAGCAGGTACAGGGGCACTATTGCCATGGAGGCTGCACCGTCAAGCCACGCTCAGCAGCACGCCCACTGAGAGCCGGGCGCCATTTAATAATTGTTTATTCGCCCTAAAACGCCGTGTCGGTCAATCCAAAACCATCCACGAATTTGTGCAGAGTTTGCCAAATAGTTTCGAGGGGACTGAAAAATCGAAACGGCTCGATGGCGTCGAAAGGCAACGTTTTGTTTCAATGTTACCAACACATTTCGGGCCGGAGCTACAAAACGGCCGGAAAAGGAGGAGGAGGAAATGGTGGGGACAGCACAGAACACGGTGGCAATTCAGAGCCACAATGAACAGCCACTGGGCCAGCGAAAGAAGAGTAAAAATGACTCTATAGTCCCGTGGTTACAGCACCCACCTAGGATGTGGGAGACCCACATTCAAGTTCCTGCTGCAAGAACTATTTAATGTGTTTTATAAAAAGTGGAACAGCTTTACCAGGAGAGAGAGAGATGCCTGCCTCAGAATACCCCATAGCCCAGTGGCTTGGATACTCCCCCTGGAATGGGGGAGAGGCAAGTTCAGATCCCTTCTCCACATCAGGCAGAGAGGGGAATTGATCCTCGGTCTTCCCACATCCCAGGCGAGATGGGCTAAAAGCAGGGCACCATCTCCACTCTGTGCCTAGTCCTCCTTTGCTTTTGTTAAAATGTCCCAGATCAAAACGAAGAATTTCAAGTCAGGGTCAAACGAAATGTTTCAGTCAACTCAGCTCTAAATGTTTTCTGACTTTTCAATTCGCTAAACATTTGTTTTTGGTTTACCCCAAAATGAAACATTTGTCAGATTTTTCTGAATTGCCAGCAACTGAAAAATCCATTATTCACCCAGCGCTACGTACGTCCCTTCCCAGCCCTCCAACGTGCAACGAGCCAGGCGTGAAAACAACCTGCCCGCACCCTGTATGTGAGCTGTGACCAATCATGCTAAGCCACGATGCACGCTGGACACTGCTCCTACAGGGCTGCGAGATCTTTACCATCTGCACGGCATAGCTGAAAATGAGCTTCTCTGCTGTGATGCTGTTGATCCGATCCATGAGCTTCTGTTTATCCAAGAAGAATCTCTGGAGTCTCATGTTCAGAGAGTGGCAGGCTGACACGCTGGATTTATAAAGTTCGTTCAGCTTCTTCACAACTAGAGCAAAAGAAACAAAATGTTCGTCTCATCTTCCTGCTTTGCCTCTTTCACCTACTCCCCACGCTCCAGACCTTGGAGGAGTGTCTCAAAGGTGCTTTGTTTAAGGCAAAGCTTCAGCCGTTCAGTAGCATACAGACTGTGACATACCTGTCACTATCATGGGCTTTGACTTAGCCTTGTGCAGTAGCTTTAAGGCTCGGATATGGAGATACCCACAGATGCTTCTACTTCCCCTGCCACCAGATCTAGTTTTGTTTCTCTTAGCTGAAACAAGGTTTAGGCAATTCAGTGTGTGCACTTTGCCGCACACACCACTGGGAACAGCAAACACTCCAGAAACGGAGCCTCTCTGATCCGATGGCTGGATGCGTGATGCCAACTTGCCTCACCTATGGTAGCTGATGGAGCCTACAATGCCAAGAGTGGGCGAAGCAATGGAGCGGAGCAGGGATAGATCAATTATTTGCTGAGCAGCACTTTGCTGCCCTGCCAGGTGAACGTACGAGGACACCTGATCTCCCTTCCTGCAGGGCAGCTAGGATTTTAAGGCTCCAGGACTGCGTGATGGAGAAGAGCAAGAAGAATTTATGTAAACGTTACTGTACGTGGCCAGCAACAACAATCCAAAAGGGTGTTCAACAAAGCAAGAGACTGAGCCACTTTTAGTAGCTCGGATACACTACTGAACCAGGAGATTTTTCGAAGGCACACAGGTCTAACTTACAGAGCTAATGGGACTTGGTGCCTTTGAAGGTCTCCCTCTAATGCATTCAACTTTACATGTTAAAAAGGGAGCATTCATCACAAAGTACCGTCAGTGCCTTTCAAACTGCTCTCACTTCCTCATTTACTTTTGAGACCCTGAATTCTAAGCAGTGCTTCATGGGGAGAGAAGGAAGAATGGAATAGCTTGCCTAATTCCCAGTGCATTTTGGTGAAAGCGCAGCTGTAGATCTAGAGGCTACAATCCACAAGGTACACAACAAGCATCTGGGAAAAGAGGTTCAGACTTCTCTATAAATGCTCAGAACAATTTGTTATTCAGGCTACAAAGGACAGCCATAGCTTTGGCTGGCCACGGCTTCTGCAAACTCATTCCCATTCTCCCTGAATATGCTCTACTTCAGAGTTCGGAGACTAGTCTCAGAAGCTCATCCCGGTTCTTAGAGAGCCCGGTGGGTAAACTGAGTGGCACCAGCCAGTGTACAGTAACGTACAGCGGATTTGGGACTTGGAAAGTTTCAGCCTCTGCCATCTTCTCTTTCAATGGGGAAGTTAGAGTCAGTTACAGAAAACCCACGGAGTGGAGTAAAATTCCAGCCACCGGGATTTACTGGTGCAGTATTTCCTTTGGCCACTGCCTCATGCCTGAACAAAACACAGTGCAGCTAGAGTCACTGAGCGGGGAGAGCTGAGCGTTACGGCCTCTGCGGGCAAACTGCTCTGCAAAGGCTAACCTTTCAGCCACTGAACAGGAGAAGGTTTTCTCAGTGGCAAGGAGGAGATGTAGCGTCATGACTTTCCATTGACATGAGTGGAAATTGTGTAGCTAAGCCCCTGCACTGGCCACTGCAGAAAGAGAGGGTGTGCAGTTATTGACACCAATCCCCCTAATGCAGAGAGGTGATTTTCAAAGGCACAAAGCACAGTTAGACGGCAGCCAGCGGGAGATGGGCCTCTAATTGCCCTTGGTGCCTTTGAAAGGCTCCCCAATAGCGTCCCAGTGCTAAGACAAAAACCCAGCCACTAGCTGGGTACTGAACAGTGGCCACCTTGTGCGATGACAGAGACGCATAACATGTCAGAACCAATGGAAGGGCATAACAGGCTGATAAATAAATGGCTTCCTGCGTTGCCATTGGGTATTGTTACTTCCTGTTTTTTTTGTTTCTTTCACTTGAAAGTCATGACTGCCAAGAAATGACTCAACTTGCCAAGTAAGCACACATTACGAATACACACAGCACGTAATTAAGTTGCACCCCCATCATGTATAATTAAGCACCTGTGTACAGAGACATGCTGAGATATTCAGATCAGATGCTTTCTTTCTAACTGGCCGTGAGGATTCATACAGTGGTACAAGCAAGAACCTGGGTTCCTGCATAAACTGAATGTCACGCGAGGAGCAGGTCCTTTGAGGTGTATGAAAAGCATCCCTGAGGAGGCCAGCAATGCCAGGAGGTCCACGCCACCGGGCAGAGGGCGGATAACTTTGCAAACAGACCGTAATACTTGGGAGAGGGTCGGGGAGAGACAAGGCAGGCTGCTGGCACAGAGTGGGGGTGCGTGTGTGCGCTGGCAGAGGGTGGCAGCGTGTAAGGAAACTGCCAGCACAGGTGGGTGGAGAGGGGCAGAGGAGTGTGAGGAAGGCTGACTACATGCATCAGCGGCGCTCACTGTTGAGTGTGAGGCCACTAGCCGAGTTCAGTGGTGATGGCTCATATATGTGGATGGGGGAAGGGGCACGCGTGTGCACGCATGTGTAAAAGCTGCTCCTCCAGGAGCTCCAAAGAGGGAGGCAGCTGGTTATCCACGCAAGTGACCCCAGCCAGCCTGCGCTGTGTTCACCCAGGGCACTCAGTGTATAATAGAGAGGGTCAGCACTAGCTAGCAGGATGAACTCAGCTCCTCACTCTGCTCTTACTGCCGAAGTCTCAGGGCAACGCAGTGGGGGGTGGGTGGCCTTTGGGGGTACAGCAGCCTCATTCCAAGCTCCTTTCCACAGCTCCAGCATTCCAGACGCATCCCTTGTACTTGCGCTCAGGGGCCCTTACCTTGTTTGACAGTGGAGGAGAGGCACAGCTTGCCTGCCTTGATCTGTTCTATGGCTGTCTGCAGGCCCGAGGACAGCAGCTCTGCTACTTTCAGGTACAGTACCAGCTGCTCTGCATAGCTGCAAAGGAAGCACATTTCACCGCACGCAGGTCAATGGGCTGGTCGGTGTATTTACAGCACGACCTCTACAATAAAAGTGTCCCAGAGTGCTTTCCAAATGCACACCGCAGGCACATGGCAGAGAGAAGCAATGCACAGCAGCTAGGGTGGTTTTTGGAACAGACCAAGGTATCCTGGCTTCTCCCCGGGCCTTACCTCCATTCCCTGCTGAGAAGGCTGATCTGGTCAGCCACCACACTCTCCTGAAGCTGGTACTCGGAGGCCACCGAGCTGCTCATCTCGCTGGTGCTCCCTTTGATGGTGGCGATTTCCAGCACGTAGTGGACGAAGGCAAGCATGAAGCGCAAGCTGCGCAGGGTGTCCGTGTGCTCTTGCTGGAGAAGGAAACACCAACACAGAGGTTACGTGCAGGATGCAGCATGTGAGGGAGGCAGGGCACACTGGCAACAGCGCCAGTGCACGGAGGACTCATCCCTGGGTTATGAAAGCAGAAGCTGAGGATGTAATTCTAACAAGGAGTTGTTATTGTGTCTGGGCATGAAATCCCCGGACTCAGACCCAAGCCCAGACACCAATCCTCCTCCTTCACAGATTAACAGAGCACAGCTTCAGGCCACCAGTTTACAAGCAGTTCCTCACAGGAGCTGAGTTGACACGGTCACGGAACCGACTTCTCCAGAGTTGCTTCCTGTTTCAGGTCAGGAGTGAGGCACGCTGACAGGGCGTGGTGGGCAAGCTTGTCCCGCAGCTACCTGAGCATCTGTTCTATGGGTGAACCGTGGCCTTTGGCCTCCTGGCTCTCAATCCAGCACCTTGAGCTACGAGCACCTTCATTTAATAGGGGGAAGAAACCCCACAGCAGTGGGCTCAGCTCAAAGGGGCACTTCCCCATTTCATGCGGAGTTTTACTGAATAAACCCCACCCAGTATAGCCTGCGGGCTAACTACTCATAGGACCTACAGTAACTATCAGCTCTTTGAGCTGACTATAAAACCTGTTAGAACTTATCGCTGGAACTTCTTGTGGAATTCCCTTTTTGGTATTTTCTATCAAAATGATCGGAAGAGCTAGCAGGTCTATCATGCATTCAATGGATGCATGCAGTGTCATAGTTGTGTGGATCCCAGGATATTAGAGAGACATTGGGGAAGGAGGGGGGGCTATAAAAGACATTACCTCACCCACCTTGGCTCTCTATTCATACAGTGGGTCAGTCCTCCTCTCAAAGCGGCAGGTTAATGCCCTTTAGTCTAGGAGTTATGGGAGAAATACATCCCTCACATTGAGCAACCAATCATATAGGTTTCTTCATTCATTCATCAGTTCAGCTTCTTGGTTCATGGGTTTCATATGTACCTGGCCTCCATTGCACCTCAAAATCTCTAGTATCTTTACCCTCACAATACCCCTGTGAAATAGGGAATTAGTATTATCTCAATTTTACAGATGGGGAACTGTGGCACAGAGAGATTAAGTGACTTGCCCAAGGTCACATATGATGGAACAGGAATTGAACCAGAGTCTCCCAACTGCCAGGTTAGCACCCAACTCAGTGGACCTTCCTTTCTCTCTACCCATAAAGAGCCCATGGTACTTTCCAGTCCTGCCATCAGTAATCATTCAGAACCTCTCCTGCCCCAGTCCCCAATATGTACTTTGTTTTAGCACTGCACATCAAACTTTTAAATACAGTCCTGAATTTGTTGTGTTTTCCCCTAAAGGAACTTTTTCAAAGAAAAAACATCTACTTACTTTTTACAACTGAACCTGAGATAAATAATAGGTTTCAAAATGCCAACATTTCAGTGTGCTGTAAAAACGTCAGCAGAAAGCATCTGGGTGGAAAATTTGTCAGGTTGGCATTCCGGACAGATCCGCAGGGCACAAAAGGGGTTACAAATAAGCCAAAAAATCTGGGTGCCAGGAAGGTTTTGCAACATGTGAATGGATTATTAAAGCCTGCGTTCAGCAGAAATGAGGACCAAACCAGAATGACTCATTGCAGACATCTGAAGCAGAACTGCACAACATTAACAAGATCAAGCTGACATTTCCTTCGGAAGATTCTGTTCAGGTCTACAGAGCAGGTGTGGCTGCCACATTCCCATGCTTCTGGGACTCTTAAGGTGGCAGGAAATTTAGTTAACCCCCACACAACATGGATCACATCCATGTTAAAATCTCAGCCCCATGGCTCTGCAGAAACCGTAGCAGATGAAACCAACTCAGTGCATACCTGACAACTCAAGTCTCATTTCCCTAACCTGATTTTGTAAAAAAAATTGTTTTTAAAAGGAACAATCAAACCTTAATTCTTAAACCAAAGTGCACAGGTCTCTGCATGTATCCAGAGGATGATTTTTTGATATTGGACTCGAGGCTTGGTTGTAAAGAACCTTCCATAGTCCTACATGAGCTACCGCAAGATTATGAATAAAGATGAAACCATGCCTTAGTTCTTCCCCTCTCTCCCCAGCTCCACTGCAAATGGATAACCAGACTTACATCTCAAATGCACTTGGGCAGAGGGAGCATTTGCTATGTTTTCCGCTCCATTCACTTTGGGGAAAAGGAGGTGTCTGGCTGCCTTTCAACTTGACAAAGATGGTTCAACAGCCTATTTTGTTGGTTCAGAGTCTCTCTCTCTCCCCCTGCTATCAATACAAGCCTCAAGTTTATTTTCTTTTAGGTCCTTTCATCGGAGATTGTAACGCTAACGGAATCCCCAGTGCATGCAGAAGATAATAGTGGGAGATATTAAATAGCTCGCTGGCTGCATTCTGGCTAGACATCAGGAGCACTTTTTGTGTTTTTTTTCCTTTTAAAAAGAAACAACCCAGACTTTCTTCACAACCAGCTGATTTTCAGTCAAAGAAGAACATGCAATATTGAGTGCGGTTTCCAACCTTCAATTTCAGCTTTAGAAATGGCAAAATTATACCCTCTGTTACACCAGTAACCAGCCACAAGGACTAAAAAGCTCAGTAACTTTGTTCCCTCCCAGACAAGCAGGACCAATATGCTGAAAGCATTTTTTACTTATTGAACTTTATGGGCCAGATCTGGTGTAAACTGGCCTTGCTCCCTTGCAGAGGATCTGACCCCCTCAGCTGCAAATATCCAATATTTTAGCTTTTTGGACTTGCTTTTGGTGATTCACGCCTCCACCCCCACCCCTCCTTTTCTGTTTTAAGTCCATAGGATGTACCCACCTCCATGAGCGTCTCCTCAGGCAGTTCTGGTGCCTCAAATGTAACTGCCCCTTCCAGATTAGCCGCAATGGGATCCACAAGAGTGTACCGGAGACTAGACAGAGCTTCCATGGCATCCCCACCAGCTCCCACTAGCAAGGGTCTGCCACTGAATGAGCCTCCTGAACTCAGAGAACTTGAAGAACCCACTGAGAAGAAAAGTACACATGGCAATGACTTAGACATTAATACCAGGCAGAACTGCAGCATAGCCATTGCTTAGACGACGTACAATCCCCTCCACCACATAGACACCCTGCCAGGAAGTAGAGTATTGGGTTTCTTGATTAGATGCCTAACAAAGAAAGCAGTAGATCCCAGGCAACGTAACTGTGTATGCCACAATCTTGGAGCCCGTTATTTGCCATCTCTAGTAGTTATGACCCTATGGACAACAGCATGTCACTACCCGGGCTCCTGGTTCATTTGGGTGGAACTGTTCTCCTCCCCCATTTTACAGATAGGGAAGTGAGGTACAGAACAGATTAAGCTGTCCAAGGTTCCACACTGTGGCTGGGCCAGAAACTGAACCCAGGTCTCTTGAGTCCTAGTCCAGTGTCCCATCAACTAGACCACCACCATCCACGTCCCCTTGGGCCAATCATACTCAAGCCCAGAGAGCACCACAGACACATTGTTTACTATAAGATTTATCAATAGCAAAAGGACTCTCCAAAGTCACGCAGTTATAATAAGAGAATTAAATATATTCACCATCACCCGCATTGAAGCATATGTTGTCGATGGGGAACATTCTCTTTGAGACACAGAGGATTCCAATCCTGGCTGTAATGCATATCTATCCAATCCAGCTATGCAAATTCTGCTAAGATGGGATTCCCTACGGTCACTGAACATCGCGGTTGGAAAAGACACAGCCTTTCCCCTCTGGATTCCATCTGCTGCTTTATACAGCCTTCAAAAGGCTCAGCCACATAATTTGCTGCTGAGTTACTCATGTACAGAGTTGTATGCGGCTTTCTTTCCCTTAAGGCCACCTTGCTTTGAGAACTACACCTCAAAGCCCGCAAAGAAGGTCTGAGTATTTCCAGTTCTTTGAGGAGAGACAAATGGAACAGACAAAGCTGTAGGAATCTCAGGTTTAGGGTGTCCCTGAATCTGCAGGCCACCGTTTTCAGAAGCTTTAATCTGGCCTGTACAATTGCTCTGTTGTTATACTTGTCTAATGACCCTATTTATGGTCACTCCAAACTTGTCATGCGTTGAGGCCGTGTATAGCTTCAGCTTACGTCACACTGCCTCCGAGCCCCCTCCCTCCCAATAATGACAGCCTGCTATCCCATTTCTGTACATGAACTAGAAAACATGAAGTAGTTAATGGAATAGGGGTAATAAGGACCAGTCACAGCTCTTCAAGCTCAACTCTTATCCAGTTGCAACATTTAGCGAACTTGTCATAATATACACTGCACGGCTTGCACTGGAAAGGCTTAGGGGTGGCTCGGCATCTTTTCCAGAGGACTCTGAAGAGAATGGAGCCTACGTATGATGTACAGGATGCTCTCAGCAGGTTAGGGAATGATTCATCTTCATACCCTCTGGTCTCTATAATCAATTTTCATGCTATCCTGGGGATTTTCTGCTCAATGCCAAAAAGCCCACATTTAGGACAGGGACTGAGGGAGAAAGAAAGAGGGCTCTCAGCATGGTCTCCTTAATCAGGTGTTAAAGCCAGTCCTTTAATTAAACTCTACATCTTGACTGAACAATGCAGAGTCATAATGGTGAGCATAAGTGTTCCCCAAGTTAACTATTAAGCACACAGTCATTTCCTATTGAACAGCATTATTTAGAGGGGGTGAACTGACTGACACGGACACTTGTTCTGATAGGAAAGCACTAAAAACGGGCTATTCCTGAAGTAGAGAGAGATATCAAGTAACAAATATTTGCATCTCTCTTGATCATCCACAGTCGTCCTCGAAGCAACGGAAAGAGCTTTCAGTGATAACTTGTTTTAGTATTTGCTAGGGTTATAATCTCAATGGCGTTCAGGCCAGGAACAAATGCATTCTGCTAAACCTTTCAGAGCTGCCAGTGCTCCCACAACAGAAAGCAAAGTCTGTGGCATGAAGGCCTGTGGCCACCGTCTTCCAGACAGACCCATCACAGCAGAAGGGCAGGGCCATTACCTGAAAACATCCTGGTCCTAGTGGTTTGTGGTGGTGTTGTCCCACTTGGAGGGGATCCAACCGTGAAGATCACTGGGGAAGGGCTCACAGAGCCCCCAGCTCTAGCCCCACAGTATAGGTTTCCTCCATAAGCAGCAGACGGAGCTACAGAGGAAGAGTGAAAAGGAGCAGCTTTCACCAGGATTATTACTCAGAGGACAGGATTCCTCTCCCCACAACCTCAAGCTGTTCCCACCCGTTCTTTTCAGATTCCACTGCTTCCTTTCCAAGCATCCCGCTGACAAAGGAAATGACACAGGCTTGCATACAAACAGGGCGCAACCAAGGAGCACCGGCAGCGTTACATGGCCTCACTGCCAACTAGATTGCCGACTCCTGCAGCTCTTCAGAGGAGGACCCCTTCCACACGCTACTTCCCAGTTGGGAAATGGAGATCATATGTCCCCCTATCTCAAAGGGACACGGTGAGGGTGAAGGCACGCTTGAGCTGCACTTTGAAAAGCATCCGATGCTTATTCAATTGTCCCCGTTAAAATATCCATCATAAAAAAGACCTCAGAGATAATAAGTAATAAGGATACCCAGCTCTTCCACAGCGCTTTTCATCCCTAGGTCTCCAAGTGCTTTACAAAGGAAGAAGCATTATCCCCATTTCAGATACAGCAGTCAGTTCCTGCTCCCAGGCTAGGAGACCAGAGACCTCCCACTCACACAAAGCCCTGGAAAGCAAGAACCGGGCAAGGCCGCATGGCCTCCCCTCATACCTGTGATCTCCATTGGCTTCTCATTGTTCAGGCTGTCGTTGCTGCCAGCTTCTGAGATCTGAGCCCCAAAGGCAGCCTTGAGAAGCAGGTCAGTGAGGCGGCCGGTGCTCAGAGATCTAGAGAGAAAATTAAAGGTGAAGCAGGAAGACAAAGACAGTTTCAGGAGGGGCTGAGGTTTCAGTGAACTTCCACTCCCTAATCTGCACCATTCTGCCTCCCTGCCCGTTCTGCACATTGCACGGCAAAGGGCTTAACGCTGAAGCAGCTGTTGGCCTGTGAGGCTCTTTACTCCCTGTATCAGAACCGTAGGGGCATCTCCTGCTGGAACAGGGAACAGTTAGCAGCGCAGCTACCTGCATCAACACCTTCCTTTCGTGGATCTCTCCTTCCCTCAGCATTCACCAATGGAGCTCTGCCACAGAAACGGTTTCCTTCAGACCTCACTCCGTCCTCTGCAACAAACCCTGCCGCCTCCCCCCGATAGACAGGCAGAACTGCAACACTCGATATGGGGCTATTCAGGATGAACCCAGGAGAGAGCTGAGCTCGCACCACAAATGCCATGCTGCTTCAGGAGGATAATTAGAGAAGACTAATGACAGCACAGTAGGGTTAGGCCCTGAAATGGCCTCAATGGTAGGACACTGCAGGAACCATTTCCAAATGGAGCAATCGGTGTGTTCGTGCAACTGATGGTAGTCTGGTCAAACTGACTGAGCCTGGATCCCAGCTGGGTGAAGGGCTGGGGTCCTAATCCCAGCTCTACCACCAATTTGCTGGGTGGGCCATTCTCCTGGTCTAAATTTTCAGGAGTGCCTGGTGATTGTGGTTGCTTCAGTTTTGGGGCACCCAACCTGAAACACCTTAAAGGAGCCTGATTTGCAGAGAGTGGGTCTTCATCACCGATTGAAGATCAGGCCCCTTTATACAGCCAAAAATTAGGACGCCCAAAATCACTAATTTAGGTCATGGTCTGCCTCTGCCTGCAAAGCCTATAGAAGTCAGGGTAGTATGAGCCTGCAACACAGGCGTATTGTGAATATTAGCTGATGACTGTAAAACGCACTGTAGCCATGAGTGTGCACGATATGACATACTTTATGACAGAACACGCCGATATCTCACCTGCCCTTAATCTCTTCCACAGGCCTCAAGCCCAGGCCAGCCTGTTGGCAATGGAAGTGCCCCATCTCCTTCAGGTCTGGCAGAGTCTTGTTCCGTGTCGGGGTCATCATGACTCCCTGCTGGGCCAAGAGCGTGAGCAGGTTCTGGGAGCTGGGGGTTTTGGGGAACTCAAAAGGGGACATAGCCTAGAAAGGAGAGAGTTGGGGTTTCTCGCTGAGTTATTTGTAAATATTCTCATCAAGCTGGTTTGGGTTTTTCTACATGAAGCTGTCTACACAAAACTGTGACTGAAACCATCTCGGCCCTCCCCCCGCCCCAGAGGAAAGGCAGCTGTCGCACACATTTTTGAATTTTAAGTGCCGCTTCAGAGCTGTGCCTGACTGACTCAGTTCCCTCCACTGCAGGGGCCTCGGACACTGGGGGCAATTCAACCTCTCCTGTTCTCTGTCTTTGGCTCAGGACCAACGTAGTCTCCTGAAGACTGAAATGCTCTAGCCTAATCCAACTTCTTGGGCTGAGCATGTTGGTGACGTGTTGTGGCCTATGATAGACAGGAAGGCAGCCTGGAGGATCTGGTGGTCCCTTCTCGCCTTAAACTCTGTGAGCTCTCGGATATAAGTGGAGACCAAAGGTAACCATAGCATCCGCTTCACAGGCAGAAATCAGGTATCCCATCTCTACTGCTACCACCCTCAGGATGCCTGCAGGGCAAAACCTTGCGTTACAAGTCCAGCCGCACTGTGGAACTCAGCCCCACACAGAAGCCCACTGCTATGCCTCAGTCCTAATCTGTAGGGATAGGGCAGCTCATTTGCAGGGCCCTCTCAGACCCTTGAACTCACTGCTCAGATGCTGATGCCAAGCGAGATCTGTCCACTAGGAATAGGAGCATTGACTCATTGCACACAGATGACTAAATAGCCCTTGAGGAACAACTAACCAGCCACGGCAAATCCAAACCAGTTTTATCTAAACACAGTTAGTTACTCCAGAATAACCCACCAGACTGAGCTGCAAGACACAGTCCACAGAATACCTTTGTAGGGGAGCCCAAGATAGTTGGCAAGGGACTTCTCTGCATGAATTCAGACAGCTTTGGTGAGGACCTCAGCTGTCGGCAGGGCTGCAAGCCATGAACCTGCAGGGGCTGACTGACCGGAGCGTGGCCAAAGTGAGCAACTAGAGGGTCAGAGTGCTGCTTGGTAATCTTCTGCCTGCAGGAATGCAAGTCTGACAGGTTGGGAGCGCTGTGAAGCCGGCAGCCCATCCCTCGGGAAGAGTGGTCAGGCACTGAGGCACCTAGAGAATCCGAACACCCCCCACCCCACACACACACAGTCATTCTCCGGTTCTAACAATGGGAGCTGGTTTGCTCTCAGGACCTACAGGGAAGCCTTAAGAAAGCAGAGGAGGCAAGTTTGTCCTTGGCACCTACAGATCAAATCCTTCAATACATGGTCAAGTCCAGACTCTGTTCTCAGCAACATGCCACCAAACTTCAGGCCTGATTTAGGCTTTGACCTGTGGGTGCATGAACTCCAGGGGCTCATGAAATGAGGGGGCATCATTGCTCAAGTTCATCTGCTGGGACCCTGCACATTGTCAGAGCTCTCTGGCCCAGCAAATTAGCAAGGAGGGCTTAGGAGAACATGGGGGTAGGGAGGAGGAGGAGGAATCAGGACTTCCACTGGGATTCCACACCGCACAAACCAGTAACTTCCAAGACACAAGCCAGAGTTTCTATCATGTGCAATCCACAAGCACCATTAAAACATGTTAATTTCACGGCCCTGTGGTATAAGGACAGCTGGGAAGCGGCAGGGGAGGAGCCAATGGGTAAGGATTCTCTTCTCATCACAAAGCATTTCCTGTCTGAGCCAAGCATCAGAGAAGGACAATACTGTACCCAAGGCCCTTTGGAGAGCAAATTCCTGTTGTGTCCAGTCCCTTATTCATGTGAGGCAGGCAGAAAGAGAAGAGGAAGATAAACACAATATGGACATACCAGGCATGGGGATCCTGCTTCTCATTTCTGCTCCAGGTGGGGAGAAGAAAACAGTCTGGCCGGGCTGCTCTGGAATTGTTCCAACTTTAAGGGGGACACGATCAAAAGGTTTATACAGTATTAGGTTTTCCCAGACGATGCCACAACCACTTTAGATAAATAAGTTTCACCGCAGACCCATCTGAGCGCAAGACGCACTTAGACAGCTATCTCTCCCCTTCTCCTCCCTCAGTGTAGGAATAAAGGACTGAAAAGCTCCAGAGAAAGGAGTTTGAGAGCTTTAGGAAGCTTGATCAGAAGCTCATCATAACAGACAGGGGTCTAATTAGAGAAATCAAATAGGAAAAACATTGGCTCCCCACCTATATGAGTCCTGTAAACATGGGATTGGAGACTTCAGAGATGTAAAGGATCTAGTAAAATCCAAGTCTGTCCCTTTAGCTAGTTCTCCATATCACAACACATGCAGAACAGGGCTAATCTTATCCCCAAATGCCGTGCCCTTGAATTGCTCTGTAGTGTCTGGGTCAGATTGTCTGATACCGAGAAGGCTACCCCTGGGGATTCCACTGACCTTGCCAAAATACTGGCCCCACTGAAGTCAGCAAGAGTTTTGCCATTGATTTGAGTGAGACCAGAATGTCACCCCCTGTTTGTTAATCAGTAACGACACCAAACCCTGATAAGACCGAATGTATAATGATTGGGATGTGGACCCAACTCTCTGAAGTAAAATTCATTTTAACTGAAATCAGCACTGGAAAAGATTCTGGATTCCCAAGACACACAACTGGGGCCAGATTTTCTAAAGAGCTCAAAAGCCAGCAGGTCCCTTTGAGAACAAGGGGGAATCCACCCTCGCCCTCCCCAGATAGCAATGGGAGCTGCTGGGTGCTGATGAGTTCTTTTGAAAATCTGGCCCTTCTTTCTTGCGTTTCTCTGCCCTTGCCCCTCATTCGGGACAAGGCTGCTGCAGGACAACAGATCAAACAAGGGCTCAGTGCAGCAGCTGAACATCGGTTCCTTTCATCAGCAGGCCCCAAGCGAAGATCCACTGGTTACTTCACCATGGGAAAGGCTGATGGGCAGGGCCCAAGGAAGCAGTTGAAGCCTTTCATTCTGAACTCGTTTGCCTTGCTTTCAAATGTAACATGAACATTCTGATTTGCATGGAGCCCTTCACCAGAGGACTGCAAGGTGTTTCCCCAAGCACTAAGCAAACCTCATGTCTCATGCAGCAGATGGGTATTATTATCCGTGTATTACAGATGGGAAAATTGAGGTACACACACTTGTCAGGCAAATCAGCGCCAGGACCAGGGATACAACCCAGCAATCCCAACCCGTACTGTAACCATTAGGCCATCTTCCTTTTTTCTAGTGAAATGGGGTGCCCTTACCTGGCTGGCACCTTACCTTGCGGGGATGGTGTGTAAGGCTTAGCACCGCCGAAGGAGAACCGTCTGGGGGATGGCACAGCTCCATGCTCTCCAGAGAAAGGAGGGGAAGCACCGATTTTAGCAAACCCAAGAGGGCTTGTACTGCTTGATCTTCGGACTGTGCCAGACCTTATTGGAAACAGCAATAATGCACAGGTTATTCAAGATGCCACTAAAGAGGGGCAACGAAAACAACATCACCACACATTTGAGCTCACCCAGCTACTTTCCACCAAGCCAAATCTTCATTAATTGTTTATGATTTGTATTGCAGTAGTACCGAGGACCAGGCCCCACTGTGCTATGTGCCATACAAACACAGAACAAGGAGCTTACAATGTAAGCTGAAAAAAAAGAATACAATTAGCTTAGCTATAAAAGGGAAATCAGGGGGTTCTCATCGTTTTTAGTCTCTCTCTCTCTCTCTCTCACACACACACACACATATTTACAGCACCCTCTTGGAAGCCAGAGACTCAGATCTTTCATGTTACCAGTTTGTTTTAATAACCATCAAAAACGTCCAGTGATTAGTTATCCTAGTTGTTTCCTATCAATGTTGGGCTGCTGGTTAGAGCAGACTTTTAATTAGATAGCTTCATAGGCACGCGTGGCATTGTACAATAGGTGAGCTGTGCCAAATGAGTTACTGCCTCAGAGAGCTTTGAGTCATGTCAGGAATGGGTACAAAGCAACACAGAGTGGTGTGTGGCCAATACAACTGGAATGACTGAGTGCTACACAGGAATTTTTTTAGGCTCAGATTTTCAAGAGAGAGTCCGAGCTACTAACTCCCTTAAGCTCCCTTGAAAAACCTCAGCCTTAAGGAGTAAAAATTACACTTATCTATCCTCCTAAAGTATTCCCCAGATCCTGCAAACAAATAGAAGGGGAAACAGAGTACAGTGGATCCATCAAAACCTTGATCCTTTAAAGAGACAGGAATACTGGTTTTGGTATCTCACTCTACTTTTTCTTTACAGGAAAAAATAATTACACACACGCGCACATCAAAGAACAGAATGTCTTTTTACCAGGGTAACCTCCTTCACCAAGATTCCCTTCTGCGGCCATTGGGCATGGCACTCAGACTCCCCGAATAACCAAAAAAACCCTTTTCTCACATGGAATCCCTATTTTCACTCTCAGTCATCTCTTGCAAAAAAAAAAAAAATTCATTTTCAATCAATCATTTCCAAAAATACGTGGTGGTCGCAAGCCACAGGTGGCTTTTTTGGAAAGGGATCGGTGAGTGATTTGAAAGAACTACTCAACTCAATGCATCATACCGTCATGAATACACACTATACTTTCTCTCCTTTGTAAGATTAAGGTGCAGGTATGCAGGCATATGTAATCTGATGGCATAAAGATTCTACTGGTGTGAATATACACTTTACTTGTGAATGATGAAGCCAAGAGGTCATATCAAATAAATGCCATTACATTCTTTAAGAAACACCATTATATGTTTCATTATGCCACCTGCTTTACAGGAACAATGCCTTAAGTGGAACAAGATTTAAAATATTTACTGGTACTTTCCTGCATGTCATACTGCATATAAAAATACTCTAAAAAAGCCTTTCTGTAAGTGAAGATGTTCCAAATTTATAGCTCTGGTATCGTCCAACTGACCTGGCCTTGAAATAAAATTATGGATTACATCCTCCCCCCCCAAAAAAAAATTATTTGTGGCACACAAACATGAAAGAGAAGCCTGGCACAGAGAAAAGATTTTTAGACCCTTCAATGGGATCCAGAAAGCATTTGTACTCCATATGGTTTACTAGGTATCAGATCTCAATAATGTCATTGATTCAAGACTGAACGCCGTCTGCCCTGAACTTGCTTCAGCATAACTTTAAAGTGGCTAGTCCATCTTTGGACCATAAAAAGAGAAGAGTTTAAAAATGACAGCGGCTTGAAACTGCGTGGAGACATGGAACATTAGAAGCAGTCCTGTGAGAGAGATGGAATTAGCAAGCAGAGAGCAGGTGAGGTGGCCACAGATAAATGCAAATTACCACATGGTTATCACTACCACATGTCACATCTGGACACAGACAAACTCCGCCCACCAGGTACATACCTTCCACTCACACTGCCAAATTATCTCATTAACTGATGAAACTTTTAGTCTGTTTGCATCACGTGGTCCTAGGTCATTTGGTAAAATGGCCAAAGTTTGCCCCCCCAGATACCTGGCATTCAACTTTCCCTGACTTCTGTGGGAGCTGTGAGCAAGTAGCCGAGAGCCAAATTTGGGTCTAAAACTTTAAGACGTTTGGTCAAATGACTGATAAGGAAGACCAGCCATTATGGTCACTGTCCTTCTAAGTATGCTTGATAAGGTTTTCCCTCTGTTCTTGGAGGATGGGCACTGCACCTGCTGCATGGAGGAAGAAACCAATTTACTGAGCACAAGGCTCCTGGACACAAGGATGCTGCTCTGCATGAGCCTGATAATTTTTAGACGATACAGTGGGTTTTCTTTAGATTGCAGAGATTATGTTAGTCTCATCATTGCACCCATGCTAAATAAAGCAGCCTAACACAATACTTTAATCCGACTGGTAGGCTATAGTTTGTGAATCTGAACCAGCAATTCCAGGCCCTGGTATCCACATCACAGGTACACTCTCTATATCTGCAAATTTTCCAGATCCTTGACTTTGCAGACAGCAAGGATTATTAAGGGGGATAGTCAATTCTTTTCTCATGCTTAACTCCCAGCAGCTGCAGCGAGCTCAGCTCCAGGAAATAGGGGGCATCTAAGAGCAGAAAGGCGTTTAGCCAGAATGTAAGAATTTGTTCAAAAAACTGGCACACCATGATCTGTTTGCTGACTCCCGGTTAGGTCAGACTGACCCATCACATCTCAGGTGTTATCAGCCTTTGCAAAACGGGTTGAGGCCTCTCGGCAGACCAGTCTGACAGGAATATCAAACCCCCGCTGAAAGCTAACCCTAATGAATGTAAACATAAAAGAAACTCACCTTGGCAAGAAGTCATACTTCTGCTGAGACTTGGTTCTTTGCTTGCTGCTTACACGCCGCAACTTGTCAATAATTTGAACATATTCCACCTTTGGTACGTGGGCTTTCTTTAAGGTCTCGTGCTTCTCGTATGCCTCTCCTTTCAATTCGTTTTTAACTGGGAGTGCCATGGTTAAGCCACAGGACAAGTCTGTAAGCCTAGCGTGTGTGTGGCAATCTCAACAGAAAGAAGTCAAGTGCTCCTCAGAGGTGTGATCCATCTATGCAGTATGCAAAGCATCACTCCCATGGTCCAAGACTAATATCCGGTTCATCCTGATTGGTTCCCCAATGTGCGCTCTACCTCGCAGGCATGAATTGCTCATGCACTAATTGTGTTGCATCATCACATTAACATGGAAGTGTCACATAGGACACATCGTTTTGTGGTGTGACTAAGCGTGTGAACAGATTTTTATAAAAATGAGTTTCAATCATTTTCAGTAGTTTGACCAAAAATGTCTAAGTTTTAGCCATTTGCCAAATAAAAGACCATTTTCCCTTGGATGTTCCATCAGAGAGATTGATCTGACAGTGGGGAAGGGACATACGGTGCCCTACTCCTATTGAAACTTGAGGGGAGCTAAGTAACTAAGTGTGCCTTTGAAAATCTTACACACACACTCTTACAGCGCTCAGTCACAAATAGATTCTATTACTGGTGTCAAAATGCCACAAACAATGTTAGCACACGGCATGCTGGGCTGCCCACCTACTGCCAGGGAGAGGGCCCGCAGTACAGGAAATTCGTGCACAGGGATGGAGATGGATCACACTGTAAAACCTTCTTATGATATAGTCAGTGCAGATCTGGAGGCTCCTGCAAGGAGCAGGAGGTGGCATTACCTCCTGCCCGCACCTTGGCACTTACTGTGGCAAAGCATGTTGATTGGGAGACTGTAGGTTCTGTTCGATCCGCCGGTAGTTGTGGATTTGCGTTGGGACCGGGATGGGGACAGAGTGCTCGTACTTGCTGCTGGAAAACTGGCCTTGCCGGCTGTGGAATTCAAAGAGAAATAAAGACTCTTGTGAGGAGACAGTGTTTAATGACACAATCTAATGTATTAACTTGCTTAAGCGACTGTCTGCAGGGCAGCATCCACCTCGCTCCTCTCCTCAGGTTGCGAGTTTGTATTAGAAGAGCCATTAAAGGAAGGGCCACCTCACACCTCCAAAAACCACTCACCTCTCCTTCCTCAGGGCGATTCCCACCCACTGATTGTGTTAGAATCATGATGCACCACACCCGCCAGGAAAACTAGACCTCAGCTATTTCAAGCTGCATCCAGCCTACTTTCCAGCAGCCTCAGAACCACAGCCAAGGAGCACATCACTGAACAAAGGCTAAACTGCAGCTGCTCACAAAGGATACTGGCCAAGAGTCACTTGTTGCCCAAAGCTACTTGCGACTCATGCAGCAGCATCGCCAAAGAGACGGCATCTCCACGAGTCTCAGCATTCCTAGGCAGACACACAACCCTGGGAATATGAGCACGTCTGCAAGTGAACCAAGTGTGGGGTGGGCGACCTACTGGAGAGGAAAGTCGCTATACAGTGTGTGCAGAATTCCCATTGAGGTCAAGAGGAGTTGAGTGTTTTAGACTCATCCTGCAAACTACAGATTGCTCTCCAGTTAAGTCTGAACAGGGTACTCAGTTCAGGCTCCAATACTTATCCCCTTCAGCTGGCAGTTTTCTCCATTATTCTTTGCCTGTATACTATACTGCACAAAACGAAGAAAACGCACCCCTGTATGATTAAACTAAGTAGCTTCCTAAAATCCTTTCCCAAATCCTTAGGTCTTCAGGGAATTCCAGGATTAATTGCCATGGCAGTGTCACTCACGGCAGCCAACCCCAAATAGGTAGCTGTTGCACGGCTACAGGAAGATCTTATCAGTGATGGAGGTTCCTGTAATCTTCTCTTGGTCAATCTGGGACACAGAAATCACTGCCCTTAGGAAATCTGGGTTCACCTTGTAGAGGCTACACGGCCAACAGTTCTACTGGTACATAACACACACCAGAAATGCTTCACACAAGCAGAAGAGGAAACAAGAAAAGTAAAGTAAAGAAAGAGACTACCACTGCTGTCTTATACAGCTGCCAAAAGAAGTTAAAGACCAAAAAGCACGTTTTTGCAAAGGCCTCCGCAGTTGCTGGTGACAATGTTTGGCCATGCCTATATGCTGTAGCTTACTGGCAGATTTCCAGGACATTGTCCATAGCCCATGAAGAAGTCACTCACTAATGGAGCAGCACCAGTGGGCTGAAAAAGACCCTCTCGCACAGCAGGAAGACATAGAAGTGACCCACTTTTCCCCTTTTCCTCCTTAACATCTACCGTTTGCTAATTCTATGCAGTTCTAGTTTCTGTTCTGTATATTCATATTTTCTCCAAACTCCCAGGGATGTCAGCACAAGTGCTCCAGAAACAGCAACTACAGGATCAAGAGCCTGGTTTTCAGGATGCTGAGCACCCACACTTCCCAATCAAGTCTATGTGAACTACTGCTGCTTCGCACCTCAGAATAATCAGGCTAGGAATGTCCCATAAGCTCAGCCCCACAACAACAAGCTAGTGCGTGTGCATGCAAAAGGAGTGGGGAAAAACCAGGAATGATGATGTAGATTTAAGGTCCAGGCTATTGAAGCATTTGTCAGCAGAACAGGTAAGGGGAATTTACAGGGCATATCATACGGATGGATACACGGGTGCAATAAGATATAAATTGAACGGTGATTTGGCTGAGATATCTGGGAGCTAACGTAGAGCCGTCTGTGGGGGCAACAGCTGAAGTTTTAAGGGATAAAGGATTGACTCTTCACCTTGCAGGTTGCCTGACTGACTGAACTTCTAACCCAGGCCTGCATCTTTCAAAGAAGAGAAGTTACTGAGTCAAAGAGTGGCCTCATATAAGAGCTACTGTATATCAAGTCCCACTACGGGCCAACCTTCCATACTGCATGTATGCTGTAAACGAGGAGGTCAAATTTAGATGACATGCAGGGAACTTACCAACTGATTCAGACAACAAATAGCTGGTAACTAAACCTGAACCTAGTACGTATTAGACATTGGAAATATCTGGAGGTCTTTCAAACCACAGCGGTCCAGAAGTTCTCAGAGCCCAACAGATCAAGAAGGAAAGAGAGTTCAGCTAATTAGTTGTAACTAAAAGTGCTCGGAGAGAGTGGCATTAAACCCATCAATCTGAGACACAGCAAAAGTAGTACATAGACACAATTTTATGAGACATCTTCAGTGGGGAAGTGATTGAAAAAAAGCCTAGCAGTTAATATGGGTTAATCCTGGTCAGGTGACATTCTAGTTAACATTCAGGAGCGTAGTTCCAGAAAGCACACTGACATCTGGAGGCAAACACTTCTCTACCAGCCAATCTCAAACAGCCTTTGCTATCTGTCCCATTTGGGCTGCCTCCAGCGCTGCAGGGAGGGGCGGGAGAGGGAGGTAAAATGCTGATTGCAAGACAAAAGGTACAAACAAAGGGAGAGCTCCAGCCTGCTAAGAAGTGGTGCCAAAGGGAGAGTGAAAAGCCAGTGTTGCCTCCTGCTGCCAATGGCAAGCAGTGAAGCGCTGAAGGCCTGAGCGACATCACGCAGTCAAAGGACAGCAGAGCCCATGCTCAAGTACGGTGAAGACACCTTGCTGGGACCAGCTCAGAAGCACCCGCAGGGTGGCTGAGGTCCCCACATACTCCGTTTTGTTGGGGTGGAGTGGTGGGTCCAGTCCTACATTACAGTGGTCTCTTCCCCTTCCTGGAAGGGTAGATAGTTTCTCTTTGGGGTCTCTGTAGACGCAGGGTTTGAGGTCCGTTCCACACAGGCTACTGGGAATAAGTGAGTGGGAGTGGGGTAGTGGCATGCTAGACCCTCATGTAACTAGCAGTGATTTTCCACCTTCCACGCCAATGGGACGCAGGCATCCTGATTTGGTGGAGAGAGGGCATGGTGAAAAGCGAGCTAGCATTTGCAATGACCTTCCGTGCGTTTCCACCCACCGCTCTTTAGGGCAAGCCCGAATCCTCTAATGAACACTGATCCCATGGCTGTACACGAATCAGTTAAAGAACAAGCTGTTAAAAAGCTTAGCAGGTGACGGCATGAGAAGCCTCATGCAGTTAAACTCTGAGCCGTGGTACGTGCCAGCCAATTAGTCCGATCATGTCAGCAAGGCTTTGAGCTCTATTTCTTCCCTATGTTTATATGGGTTTAAGCAATGGCACGTAATTATGGGCTCTCTCTGGGTGAGGAGCATTTTCACAACGCAAGGCTGGGACTTCTTTAGCATTTTAAGTTTTTTCAGGGTGAATTTCCCCACTCGTAAGTGGTGCCCGGTTGATAGGTTAAGACATGCAAGTCCTCCCTGTTATTCAGAGAGCAGAGGCAGTGCGAGCTTTCTTATGCCAATGGACCACCTTGAAGGGTGGGAGTCAATCAAATCAGTCTCCATGTGCATTCAATCTTTACGAGCAAATAGAGACAAGGAGAGTCACTGGTGGAGCTGGATTTCGGTGTGTGGCCAGCTGGACTGTAAACTCATTTCACATGGGCCGTTGTCAGCACTGGCCTAGCTAGATTTGAACCTGTGACCAAAAGGAGGAAGGTTCTTGACCACTGCTGTTCCCGTCAGCCGAGCCAGTTATACCAATACCCACGGCAGTTCATCACTACAAACCGAACAGCTCTATCTGGCAGCAGGACCGACCCGTCTCAGGTATGGAGCAGAGAGCTGCTTGGGGTCTTACGCAGACTCAAAATATCTGAGCTGGCCGAACCGCCTCCTTCGACAGCAGGAACAAATGGGGAGACAACCTTCCCACAGATTCAGCCGCCTACCCATCAGGCCAGCCACTCACAGCCGCAGTACTGTTGTGGCCTCAGAAGATAAGAAACTCCATCTCGCAGCCTCTTCGCAGCAAGGCGGCTATATCTGTGGTGGGTTCCAGCACTGCAGTGAGCAGCGAGGTCCTTTCCCCTAGTTAAATACAATGTTCTTTTTTTCCTGCTCCACAAAGACAAACAAAAATCGCTCCCAAATAAGCTACACAGACACGTGATGCAAGCGAGGAGCCGCCCTACGAAAAACATGGTGGCATTGGAAAAGCCCCAGCCAAAGCAGTGCCTTTGGGCTCCTGTGACAGTCGCCACCGTGGCTGGCACACTGGGGATTGAACTAGGACTCTGCAGTGCTAAAAGTGAGAGTGGCGACAGCTTGAGCTAAAGAGCCAAGTTCTCTAGCTGTAACACTCGTATTCTCCGTGGACTGGGCACAGAGGGGGACTCCACCAATGGGTTGCACTCAGCTCAGTCTCACGTCTGTGTAGTATTAGTAAAGTTCTGGATGGGGGCTGAGGGCGCTCCCTGGTCTCCAGAGCACAGGGGGTTAACTCCAGCTCAGATTCCTTCTCCCCTTGCCTTTCTTGGGGGGAGGGAATGCCTTTGAGGAGCTCAGGCTCCACATCCAGGACTGGGCTGAGCCTGAAGCTGCTGAGTTTTTCTGGTTAGTTTTTTTTATTGTAGCTGCTGCCCTTTGACTCGAGGACTCAAGGCCAAGCCTCACTGTGAGGTTCTGACCCCACCCCCAAATTGACATTGGTGGAAAGACGCCTTGATTTCAGCAGGAGTTAGATCAAGACCTAAAAAACTTGTTTTTTTGGGGTGAACAATCTCACCAGCTTCCCTCTTACCCTGCCGGGCTGGGAGAAGTGCTGTATGGGGGCGAAGGGGATGGGGTCCTTGCCTGGCTCTCCACGCCGGCTGAAGTCACCAGAGAACTCCTGGAAAGGGGGAGAGAGAGTTCTGTTAGAGCCCAGGGGGTAACAGCACTTCCCCGCTCCTTACCGCTCCCCCCAGCTTTACCCCCCAAGGCTTCATGTCCTTTTCACATGTGTCGGAATGTAAGTTAACTGTGCCCCGGCACACGCTGTGGGAAGCAATCCATTCCCCTCTCCTCTCCTCTGCCCTTGCCAGGGGGCCTCAATGTGGCTGTACATGTAATTTCTGCCCTGTTTAAAAGGGCCTCAGTGTAAATGAGAATCAGGTCCTCAGAGTTGAGTTTGTTTTTTTTTTTTAAGAGGAATTGGAGGCTAGTTTTAACCACTCTTCCTTGTCCCTCAGCTCTGTCCCAAGAAACCCAATGGAACGGCAACTCAATTATCAGGAAGGCTGTGAATTTGGCTGAGAGTAGGCTGAGGTTAGATTAAATCAATAATAGAAAGATAGTAACAGCAGCATCTGCTCCAAACCCACTGCACTATTCATCAGTCTAGTAATAAATTGTCAGCCTTTATCCCTTGTGCAGCTCCTTTCATACAAGGATCTCAAAAGGCTTTGCAAAGGTGTACGGTTACCAACCCCCCACCATTTTACAGCTGATATAACCGAGCCATCAGGAGGTAAAGACTTGCTCACGATCATGCAGTGAGTCAGTGGCAAAGTCTAGAAGCCAACACAGGTCTCCCGATTCCCAGGCCTGCAGAGTGGATAGGACACAACACCCCCTCCTCAAGACAAGGACTGTGGACAAGTCACCCTCAGTTTTCTTAGGACAAAGACTTTTCTCTCCCTCCCCAGTTTCTCTAGAAAAAAAATGCTCCCTGGCAGAGGGGTACAGAAGGGAAGAGTCGGGGTTCTTCCTATTACTGACCTCATCGTAGAGTCTAGTCCTGCCGCAAGTCTGCAGCAAGGCTCTGCATACGGGCAGGAGAAAAGGGCTTGGGAACTTTGCCTGGCAGATGGAAAAGCGGCTAGCCAGCAAGCTGGGCTGGGTTCCAACCCAAATCTCTTCCAGTGAATGCTGGCATACTGCTGGGAATGGAATCAGAGAGCATTGCAGTTCCCCGGTGTCCCTGCTTTCTCTCTACGAGTCACTAAATTTCCCCATCCCAAAGGCCTAGAAAATTGTAAAGGTTTCTCTATGCTAAAAATACAGCCCATGTCTGGGGGGCCCATTACAATACATCTCCAGGCTGCTGTATAGGCAGGACCTTAAGGAGACTCTATGGTGCAAACAGGAAGCAAGTTGCAACTAGGTCACTGAGAGAGTCATCTCTGAAGCAAAGAGAGGGCCTCATATAGAGTTAAGTGAGCAAAATCCCTTCTCCATCCCCTCAAGCCCAGCAGCGTTTAATGCAGTGTCCGTGCCAGAGGCTAACCATTCTAATTCTTAAGAGGCTAACGCTCTTACTCGCTGTACATCAGGCTGTCCTGGACGGGTTTCCCTCCTGCTGCCTCAGCAGTTAGATCACCTGTGTGTCAAGAAAGTGAAGAAATGGATTAGGTTTGGGTCATGTCCTTAAAAGCTTTTATATGTTCAGAGTGACTGATTTTAATCTCCTGCTTCTCCAAGACCAGGGGGAACGTGGATCCTAAGCAGCCTTTAAGATCTCTGTTTCGCTGAACCAGTGCAGCCAGCAGCTGGTTTCATTCTGATCCCCACGGCCTCAGGCTTTGACGGATTTGGTTTGAAAGGAGGTATTTTTGGAAAGGGGCAGAGACTTGACAGAGGTGTTTCAGAGCATAGACACGCATCCCTTGTTGCAAGCCGTTAGCTGCTTTGCAAATGCAGTGGCATGTTTTGCACGTAGGGCTCAAACACATCTATGCCCCATGTGGCAAGATTCCAATCTGACCCCGTGAGGTGGCAGCTGGATACACAGAAGAGCTCACCCCTGCCAAATGCTCAAAATGCTGGAAATGTGAACAGTGTCAGACGTTAGTACCCGGCTCCCACTGCTGTTACTGGGGAGAGTAAAAGCAACGCTGAGTTCTTCTCTCACACTCTAATTACACGCACCGACACACACTGCAGAGCCCATTCTCCCTTCCAAGCCTACAGGAAAGTTCAAATGTTTGCAAGAGAGATGAGGAAGGGAGGGCCTCATCCCCAGTTCAGCAAAGCACCATAAGCACATGCTTAACTGAAAGAATGTTCTTCAGTGCTCTGCTGAACAGGCATAGACTTAAGCACATGCCTACGTGCATTGCTGAATGGGGGTCCTCTTCTTTGTGTACATGTGTTTATATGAACACACTTACTGCTACATACAGGGGGGAGGCATAGCTCAGTGGTTTGAGCATTGGCCCGCTAAACCCAGGCTTGTGAGTTCAAACCCTGAGGGGGCCATTTAGCGGCAAAAATTGGGGATTGGTCCTGCTTTGAGCAGGGGGTTGGACTAGATGACCTCCTGAGGTTCTATGATCTATGTAAGCCTACATTGCTTCTCCCCCACTGGGGTTTTCAGTTCTCATGCTCAATTCAGGTCCATGTCCTGAAAGACTCCTTATTCTCAAATCCTTTCTTTGAAGCTATTTAGTTACAGAATGTACTACAATGCAATCACCGTGCCAGATGTTTCCTCAGTCTGGGAAACCAAAACATTCCCACTTTACAGTCAAAACGTACAGATCTATCAGTGTTTTGGCTTTCCAGAAGCGGTCTTCAGTGTACAAACAGCCTCACTTCTGCACGGTCTCTAAACACACTACAAACAGCGTGCCTTACTTGCGAACTGTGCTGGGACCATAACAAAGTCGTCAGTGTCACAGGAGGAATTCTTGCTGCTGCTTTCAGCGGAGTCCTTAGACCCATGCAGAAAACCAGGGGAACCCTGGGCAGGAGACACCAGAGCCTTCTCCCGCAGCTGCTGCATCTCTCCTATGGACTGCTTGAAGCAAAGAAAACAAACACGGAGTTTAATACAGCTATGCATCATTCTGCTAGATTCTCTAAATTAAATTGTGCAAAGCCAGAGCCAAAATTCTGCTGACAAACGGGGGCTGCCAACTCGCCACAAACAGACGCTTTCTTTACTGAGTGCAAAAGAACCGTATCTTTCAAAGCTAAACCCAAGTCAGAACAGTGCCTCTTTTGATCACCAAAACATGGCCCTGGTACATCAAATGCACCCCAGATAAGAATAGTTTCTCCGAGGTAGGCACCACTCTTTGCTTAGACTTTCCTGATGGATAGACCACCAGCTCACCACAGAAGGAATACAAGGAGAACTAGGAAGAGATGGGAAGGGAGGGGGGTTAGTTTTGTTGCTGGCACGCGGCTGCTATCCACTCACTCCACGGCAGTAGCTGGATTTTGGGTACGTTTACAGAACGTAGGGTCATCAGCGAGGCACTGACCTGTGCAAATATATTTCACTGGGGCTGGGACGCAATAAGTGGGGAGTGAAGCCTGGGGAGCAGGGCTTGTGGGAATCAAGAGCAGCTCAGAGTGGTCAGTCAATACCAAATGGTCCTTTCAGTGGCAGGACAGGCTCCAGGGAGAGCTGCATTATACCTTCCCCTCAGCCAGAAGGGACGAGTGCCACGACATCGACACTTTAAGGATGGGAATGGGGAAACATGAGTGGTTCAGAAGGATCCCTTCTGCCATCCCTTAGGCAGGAAGCATATCGACCATGTCTGCTATATAGGCCTTAGCCATTCCTCAACCAAGTGCTGTTTGGGGCTGGGAGAGATCTCCAAGGGGTTGAATTAAAGCAACTTTCATTTGGGTCCCTAGAGCAAGGTCAGTATATGAAACCTCTTGCTAACTCAGTGGCTTGACAGGGAGTTTGTACCTCTCATGTGCTGCTCAAGCCACAGAGCAGGCTAGGCGTTCTTGATGCTCAGGGACAGGAGAGACGGCCACAATGTTCTCTAATCAAGGGTGACGTGAGTGCTAGAGATCTCACGACCTAGGCCAGCCCCTCCTCTCCAGAGAAGAGAGATGATAATTGCAGGAGGAAGAGAAATGAACAAAACTCTTGCCCCCAGTGACCCAACTCGGTGAAGTCCAAAGGATATGAAGAGCAAAGAGCCCCTCTTCCAGATCACCCTGAACATCAGAGCTCCTGGGTTAGCTTAGGGCAGGGGTTCCAACCTTTCCCATACCAGGAATGCGCACCCCACCCACCCCCAGACTCTCTTCTCCTCAGAACCTCGTAACACCTACTCACGACACCGCTTGAGGCGTGTAACCTGCAAATTCAGAGCCCCTGGTCTAGGGACATTAGGAAGAACAAAATGCCTAATAGGAAAGCAATCTTGCAAAGGAGGAACAAGAAAATTCATAACCATTACCCTCTTCCCTTATCCCCATCACACCAATATTCCTCTGCACAAAAAGAAAAGGAGTACTTGTGGCACCTTAGAGACTAACCAATTTATTTGAGCATGAGCTTTCGTGAGCTACAGCTCACTTCATCAGATGTTTACCGTGGAAATTGCAGCAGACTTTATATACACACAGAAATCATGAAACAATACCTCCTCCCACCCCACTGTCCTGCTGGTAATAGCTTATCTAAAGTGATCAACAGGTGGGCCATTTCCAGCACAAATCCAGGTTTTCTCAAAGAAGTTCAAAAGGCAACTTTCACCGACAGTCTCTGAAATCCACTCGGTGAGCTGGGGGGATGTCACTTTGCTGGCAGGTTAACATTCAGCCCTTCAGAGGAAAGTTTTAGTGGTTAAGTAATGAGGGGGGACAGACGTCCGTTCAGATCCACTCTCCTAAGCCTACCACACTGTGGCAGGTCTGGGCCTGAGCAGACAGCTTTGGCGAACGTGCGTCTGGGCAGGTTCACCTTGCAAAAGAAGGTGGATTGTGCTGTCAAACTTGGCTCGAGGGCAGAGAGCTGGCAGCCAGCGTTAGATGCTGAATTAATGACTTGTTCTGGTTCTTAGGAGTCTTACAGCTCTACTGACACCAGCTGGTGTCATTAATGCAAGCCTCGCTCACTGCAGGCTCTTTGCATAATAGATAAAGACAAACTGAAGCACTCCTTGTGGAGACAGAAAGTCACTTTAGGACCCCAACCCACATCATACTGCATAGGAGCTTGCAACAGGCACAGACTGAATTACTAAGGTATTACAATCTTCAGCAACTTCAGACAGTGACAGCAAAGGACCTATTTCAAATGATCCAACAAGATGGCGAAGCAGAAAGGGAGAGCAGCCAAGGCACCATCAGGAATGTTAACAAACCCCCCCAGACATCTGCGGGTTGTACTCACGGGAGGTGAGGCCGGGTGGGAAGTGGAAGAGGTGCTGGAGGAACTACCAGAGCCTGAGCTCGGATAAGAAGGCATTGGCACAGAAGCAGCTGGGAACAGAAAGAAATCATTAAACGTTCTGACCGGCCAACAATGCAATGATTAAAAAGGATTTTCTAGTCTTCTTTCCCATCAGGTTTATCTCATATACCAGTTGGTGCCATTTAATGGAGGGAAAACCAACATTTGGTCCAGTTTAAATGAGAAAAAACTTGCCTCCCCCACACGGCCATTTGACATCTGTAATCTTTATTATGGTACTCCTGCAGGACACATGGCCACCTTAGCTGTGAATGTGCTTACTGGTCAGCTCTAAGGCAGCCCATTCCCAGTAACCTGGGAGATGTTTTGGTATTTTAATGGTTTACGTGGATCCAGAAGATAGTCATTTCACTTCTCTTCTCTCCTACCTGCATTGTCAGAAAATTACAGCCTTGCCTTAGTTTTATTAACCCACAGGACTGGGCATACTTACTCCATGTACACGGTATAGAGCAGGGGTAGTCAACAGGCAGACTGTGGGTCAAATCCGTACCACCAGACACTTTTGAATGGACCCCAAAATCTTTTTATTTACTTATTATCATCATTACTGTTATGGTTTTTTAAAATTATTTTCTCTGGAGTCTGGACCTTGACTATACCTTGACTAAGAAATCTGGACCTTGATAAAAAATAATTGACTATCCCGATAGGGTAATTATGAAGAGGAAAGCTTTCTTCTCCATGTAAAACTGCTTCATGGTGAACAATGTTAAAATATTACAATGAAAGGCTTATGTTTATTTTAACAGCCAGGTAACTACATGGAGATACATTCATTTCTTTAACCCTTAGGGCAATGTTCAGTGATGGTGTGTGTGCATGGGTGGTAGGGGAAGAGATGGTCTACTGGCAAGAAGAGCTGGGATCCTTTGGGCTCTTGACAGGGCAGAAATTAAAACTGTTCCCATCATACAAGTCTCCTTTTATTCTGGCCTGCCTGTGGACCTTGCCTTACACTTCCCCTGCCCCAGCTTATACCAGTAAAAAGTGGCTCCATGATCACAGGCTGGGAGTGAGGATCAGAGTGAGGGAGCAAGAGCTGAAGGAGGTGTCCCAAGAGAAGGTAGGAGGGCTTCCTCAGTAGCCAGAGATAAAGAGAGGATACTACAAAGAAACCAGAATCATTGACAAGGGCCAGAGAAGAGGAGAGAGATGGGTCTCCCGTCCCTTGTATTGGAACCCCAAGGATGTCGTCTATTCATCCTCAGGGTTCTAAGGGTTAAGCCCATAGACAAGGACATCTCTGTGGGAGGAAAGCTTCCTTTTCTGTAACTCCCATGCCTATACCGAGGGTGGGTTTGACTGCAATCTCAGTAAGTCATGTTGTTATAACACGCTGCCCTGCCGAGAAAGAAAAGTATCCCCAAAATGGGAATTCTGGAAGGAAGATCAGAGGCTCAGGGTGCTCAGTTAAATATCAAATACCCAGAATGCATTTTCAGCTCCCATGTCTAATAGCATGGCCGGCTCTCGCGCCCTATGCTTGAGGAACAAACCAGAAAGTCTGGGTGAACTCACATGTAGGTGGAGAGCCCAATTCCATGCAGCACTTCTTTGAAATCACTGGGATTCCTACATGTAGACAGCTTGCAGGTCAGTCCCAACCGCCTTCTCAATGTCTTGGAAAACAAGAATCCTGAAAGAATCTCCCCAGTTTTAGCCTGCAAACTGTGACAGGAAGTACAAACAACTGCAGCTGCCAAATCTGCACAAAGAAACTAGGAACCCTCCTCAACTCTTAGCGGAGGCCTCACAGACGAGTACTGTAGTGAGGTCTCCCACTACCAAGATTTTATTGTTTTTACAAAATAAACTGCACCATGTACTGTACACTGACTGCTTTAATGTTTATTTTTCCCTTGGACGATCATTTTTACTATTTGGGAACTCAGCTGAATTTGGAGCTTTTCCTTCTATTTTTGTCTATTTGCACTGGAAAGGTGTTCCATAAATCTAAGGGCAGGAAGAAAGACTTTTCCACGATGTAGCTGAATTCAAACTAAATGACAGCTGCTAAAGTAAATGAACTAAATGCATCTTTGGATGCAGCCTCCTTGATTGTTATTTTATTATTTCTTCCCTGGGCCCCCATTGACTTCATTGCAGGATCAGAAGGCTAACTCACAAGATCTGGTCATTTACAGCAAGGGCTTTCAGTCTCTGTGAATTAGTCAGATTCCACTGTAATTATGTTTGATTCCCCCTTTACCCAAAAAAGGCACAATCAGGTAATGACAGCAATACACAACCGCTTGAAAGAAATGCACTCAGTCCTGTTTTCTGCCCGCAAGGCATTCACTTTCAGTTTAAAATTTTAAAGGAATAAACTTTTTGGAACATGATGTTTTCACCTGGAAACTGAACAGAGAGACAGTAACATGAATTATGTTCCGCACCCCAAATCCTAAAATTGCCAGGCATCATGGTAACAAAGGCATTAGCTCTCATAATTATCTTCTCCAGCTTGTCCCAACAATGGAGTTATCATCCAGCTGGTAGCAACATCAGTAGTCTCATGCCAACAGAATTCAAAACAGAGCACTGCCCAAAGGGGCAGTTTTGCTCTGAGAAGCAAGTAGGCGCAGCACTGAACGATTCTTAGTGCAGGACTGAGGCCTACGCAAAAGCAGTTGCAACCAATAGGGTGCCATGATTTCCAGCAGAAACTTTATTTTGCCAGGGGCTTTTGTCTTGAAAAGTGATTTGGGGCTGAAACGTGGTGTAAAAAGTCTCCATCTGGCATCCACTTGTCATATAAACCAGCTGGATAGAATCTGGTAAACCTCTGTAGCTCTCTTGTTTTGTTGATGTTTAACCGCTGAAGCCTCAGCATCAATTCCTGATGAGGCAGTATTTTGGAGGTTGCAAGGTACAGAAGCAAAAGATGAATTAAGTAAAAATTCCCCTTTAAACCTTTGAGTTTCAGAAAATACCATATTTGAAATGTAGCTATTGTACCGTGTGCAGGTAGTTAGATTTACAGATGATTTTGCTGGTCTTTGCTTTGTGAGTACGCACAGTAAGATCAGAAAGTTGGCATCAGAGCTATAGGTCAAGTGCACCAAACTGAACATATTGTTCCAGACACTGAACCATCTCACCAGTATTATGTATCACATTAATGCATAATATTTGCTCATGCTACCTGGCATCTCTCTTGCAAGCCAGGTTCAAAGAGACATCAAGTGATAGTCATAAATAGGGGGAAAAAGAGAGGACAATATAGACTCAGACTTTAAGGTCATAAAGGACCATCATGATCATCTAGTTTGACCTCTATCACACTGCAGGCCACAGAACCTCACCCACCCCACTCCTGATTAGACCCTTAACCTCTGACCAAGTTACTGAAGTCCTGAAATCATGGTTTAAAGACTTCAAGTTATAGAGAATTCACCATTTATGTTAGTTTAAATCTGCAAGTGACCCATGTCCCATGCTGCAGAAGAAGGCAAAAAACCTCCAGGGTCTCTGCTAATCTGACCTGGGGGAAAATTCCTTCCCAACCCCCAATATGGTGATCAGTATACACCCCAGCTAATGCAATTGTATTTACTGGTCACAACAGCCTTAATTATGCTTCCTCGTGCTCGGTTCCGATAATGCACTGTAACCAATATCACGCGCCTATCCAAGGTCCTACAGCATTTATCTACAGACAAATGACATTCTTACTAGAAGGGTGTATTTTAGGATTTTATTGATATTTTTACACTTCTAAGATACATCTCTCATCGCAGGTACAAAACCCACAAGTTAAATAAATAACAAAGACAGACAACACAAGTTAACAAAACCCAAGGCCCCAAACCCACCACTCAGGCTAAAGCCAGTGGCAAGCAGATCACTCTTGCAGCATGCCCTGAAGGCCAACAGACTTGAGGCCCTTGTCTCACCATGGAGGAGGATGGATGTGGGAGGGAAATACACCTCAGAACAGGCCATTAGATGGCTTCAGGAGGCCTGGGTTGCATTCCTAGCTCTGCTGCAGACTGCCATGTGGCCTGGAGCAAATCACCTCGCCTACACAGGCCTGTTTCCTCTCCCACCCTGTGTCTGTCTTCACTGTGTAATCTGTGAGCCCTTTAGCGCAGGGACTGTCGTGAAGTGTATGTCTCTAAGTGCTGCGCCTCCCACAATAGGGCCTTGAGCTTAGTTGATGCCTCTACCTGATTCCCCAAATACAAATATTTCATAATAATTGTTACTTGGAAACAAACTGGAAGCCAGAGCAGGTAATGGGCTACAGGTGTCCTAATCTCTTAGACAGAAATGCTAGAGACCCAGTCCTGCTTCTGTTGAAGTCAGTGGCAGTTTTCTTATCAGTTCCAGTGTGAAGAGGATATCAGAGAAGCAATGAGGCAACCTCTAAAATTATTCCCATTACGATCCTGGCACGGGGATTCTCACAAATGAATCCATTCTGGGAGTGACATACTCTCCATCTAAGGTCAGATGCAGCTACCCAGACCTCACCACCTCCGCCATCCTCCCTACTCCCATGTCGAGTGGAATGGCTAGATGGACTAACAGGAGGCCTATAGCAGCACCCAGCCAGGTCCATGTTCTGCGTCCGAAGTCAGGGGGCTTCATCCCTGAGGAAGTCAAAGTGTAACTGCTAGGCATGGACCTCGTATTAAACTGCATCAATCACAAGGGAGACCTTTGTCAGATGATGTCCTGCATGCCTCAGACGAGACTTCAAGTGACAGCGATATTATACCCCATGCCCATGGCTTACCTCTCTCAAGTTGGCTCTTCCTGCCTTATCTCCCCTATGCAGGGATCAAAAGGACCCAAGTTAACCCCCGTCATCTCAGCTCTTGGCAGTCCAAGCCACACTCCCCAGGAACTCTCTCAATCTCCTGAAGGCCTCCATCCATTGGGTGCATCCACTACAGCCAATTGTCAGAGTACAGACCAGGGCAGGCCGCAAGAGCCATCGACCCAAACAACAGGCCTCCCCACAAAAGACCACAGTCCAAGACCTCTGAGGTCAACGACAGGAACTTCTTCCCTCTCCTTGTTTAAAGAAATATCAGTCTTTCCCTGTCCCAGGCTTTACACATATGTCTAGTGGTGGGGACGGGGAAGGCTGGCAGGCAGCTTCAGATAAGAAAGGTCCTTACCTGCCCGCAGGGGTGGCCGTTGTACAGGGCCAGTGCCCCGCACCAGTAGCCTAGGTGCACTTGGAGGCGAAGGCCGAGACAGGAGAACCCTCCCCTGGCTGTGGTGGTGCGCTTGCTTTCCGCACTCTGAGGGTGTGGGTGACGCTGGAAATGGAGGGCAAGTCAGGAGAATCCTTTCCTGCTTGCTTGGGGTTCCCTGCGGTACAGGGCTGGCCCTCCATGGTGACAGTGCAGCTGGACATGAGAGCTGGGCCGGTGGGTGAGCAAGCCAGGGTTGCGAGAATCGTTGCCTGCCTGCAGGTAGGTCAGAGACTGAGGGTCTCATCCCCCAGAGTGGTGGTGTGGCGAGAGATGAGGGGCGAGCTGGCTTTGAAGCTTCCCGAGGCAGGCAGAGTCCTTCCTTGTCTGCAGGGCGGTCAGGCTTTGAAGGGCTTGTCCCGCACAGTGGCGGCGTGGCTGGTGCTGGGGGCCAGGCTGGCTTGGGAGTTTCCTTAAGCAAGCAGAGTCCTTTCCCGCCTGCAGGACAGCCCCGCTTTGCAGGGCTCACCCCACATGGCGATCGTGCAGCTGGCGGTAGGGGCCGGGCTGGCTTGTAAGTGGCCCTAAACCAGAAGAATCTTTTCCTGCCCGTGGTATGGTCACCTAAGCACACAGTTAAGGTGGGGGAGTGTTTACAATGCGTATCAGGGATAAACCAGAACTCCTGCCTCGGAGCCATGTGTTCCTACAGCAAGACTGTCAAGAGCGACAAGCAACACCTCGTTTTTTCGGCATCCACTTTGAGACCCATTAAAGGGGCCTGATGTTCAGAAAGTGCCGGGCACTCACCCTCTGAAAATGAGGCCCTTTCGAGATAGTTCAAGGTTGGCCTCCAAAAATCACCAGCCACTGCTGAAAATCTTGGCTCCAGTATTTAAACAGAAGCTTAAGAAGAGGTCTAATGAGAGTCCTTCTGTAAAAGCAATGGTCGTGCACTCTCGATAGAGCTCTTATAAGGGGGGGGCCATCTTGGTCAGGGGGAAAATTACCCAGTACCATGATAGTGATTCTGGGTTGCCACTGAATTCCACTTTTAATTTAAAAGGAGATGAGTAAAGCTGGTTGGAAAATTGCAACAGATACAAAAAATGTTGATTAAAAAAAAAAAGAGGGGGAGGAATTGCCAGTGGAAAACATTTTTCAATTTTTCAACTGGCTTCAGTCACAAGTATCCAAAATAAACCCCTCTAAAGCAAGAGAACTTGGAAGAACCTGGAGTTAAAACTGGATTTGGTCCAAAAGACTGCACTGCTCTCCAGTATCTGCTATTCAGTGCAACCCAACAAATGGGTAATGGATACATGGCTTGGGGCATTTTCACAATTAGATCATTAGTTTACAACCTGGCCACCATCCACTGTTATTAATTGTCTTATACACGCAGGTGAGAGGGAGATATAAGCAGCATAATGCTGTTTACCCACAAGTACCTATAAGACTGTAAGGTCAGTCATTTCCAAGAAGAAAGCCATCCCCACACACACACGCACACAAGCTAGATTTACTCCACTTTAGGTCCTTAAACAGACCAAGGAAATCCAGATTTTGAAGATAATTCAGCAGATTCAAATAAATTTCAGCTGCAAAATCCAGAGATCTTGAACTCATCCCAGTGGTGAAGCCCAAGTCAATGCTCAAATAACCAAAAGGACTTGGAGACAGCTCTCTCTTTTGGGGCTTAGTGGTTAGGGGAAGGTAAATCATGGCTTGTTAAAGTTTTAAGAAAAATATTAACACTTACATTTTTTCATAGAGGCACTTGCATCCAAGAAAGGGTGATGGAAAAACTCATCTGAAAATAGAGGAATAACGGTTCAATGTAAGTAAAATGCTGTGTGTCCAAACAGTTTACAAAGCTGGGAAAGTTATTTGGTATTTTTCCATTCTGTGATCTACAGTCTGCTTGTCCCAGTTAGACTATCCATACACTGCGGTTGTACTTAGCATTGTTCTAAGGAGACAGGCTGGGGACTGGACGGAGGGCCAGTTCAAGGAAGCCTGTTGTGTCCTGGGAAGTCACAAGAGCGTGTACATTGCTGGAGAATCAGAGGAGTGAAGGCACGATTAGACATGTCTGGATTGGATGCTTTTGTGAAGGAAGTAAGGGAGATTGCAGATGATAAGGGGGAGAAAATGCCCCTTGCCAAAACACGATAAAAGGAGAATTATCCTGATTCCTATGGGGGGCTCAAGAGGTCACCACAGAGCAACTCTTTCTGCATGGCACTGGAGAAGGAGTAGACAGTCAGCCTGTTCTAGTCGCTCTTTCTCCTGTCTGCACATGACAGTAAAGAGTAAGACAAATTCCACTGCAAGCTTCAACCCTGGCATGCACTCTAGCACATGTTCAGAGTCTATTAACTGCATTAGAAATGGAAGGAGAGGTTTTTCTGGGTACCAAAATGATGGAGGCTTGACAAATGTTAGGTTCAAGATGGTCTTCCCACCAGCACTGAACTCCTATGCCATGCCATGCCAGCCAGGGATGGGGAATCACTCCCATTGCAAGAAGCCACGGAGAAGAATAGGGAACATGTCGAAAACTGGGGTGGGTGCAGATAGGATTTAGGGGATAAGTGAAGGAGGTTTCTGTTACACAAGAGAAGGAGAAAACCTAACGTGGCCCAACAATTAAGAGGGCGATAACTTGAGATCTCTGGGTAATCGGGGTATCATTAAGGAGCAACAAATCAACTCAGAGCTTTTTCTCCTCTGCACTACACAGCAGAGGAGCCTATATACTTATCACACTAAATTATAACCCGTCCATAAGGGAGCTAGAGCCTCCATGACTTGCAGTCAAACCTGCAGTCTCGGGGGCCCCACTGCCTGGAAAGTCTAACCAGTCCTGCCGCGATAGGCAGGAACTTCCTTTTCCAAGGCTGTCCATCCAGCACTCAGGTCACAAGCAGAGAGCCCTGGGCTTTCCTAAATGCCAGCTGCAGGCAGCCACTCTCTTGACTGAAGGCAGTAGAACCCCTTCTTACCTCCCACAGTGCTCCTGTTCTATCTCACTGCAGAGACTTTCCGAACCTTTTTCATCCCTCACTCCCAACCCTCCCTCCGAGACTCACCCCATCTCTCACCTTCTGCCCCCACACTGTCACCCTCCTGTATTAGTCAACAACTATTATCTTTCAGGGTTCAGCAGCGTGAGTCACTGCCCACGAATGATCATCCGGCTAACCCAGGGGGTTCAGCTTGTTTTCCCAGTGAGGATTTCCTGTTGCAACATCCACGATTTTATAAATGTTAAGTGCAATGTAAACAGCTGCCAAATCAACAACAGGAAACGTACAAACTTGGGACTCGTGTGGTTTTCCTTTAAATGATGGTGGAATTAAGAGAGGCACCAAACCATGGAGACCAGGTTCTAAGCCTCCCGGCTGCTGTTCTCCTTGCCAATTAAATGACATTCAGAATATCACATAATGCTGTTACATGAACCTGCTGTAGCGCAGGGGGGCTATATGCTCACAAGGCCATCCACGCACCTCAAGGGGGATTAACAGAAACCAGGGTCAGCAAACTGATCCTCACTGAGAGCTCCAGGGAGAAAGGGGAAACAATATACCTGAGTCCTCACAGAAGAGCTCCTCACTACTTAATCCTGGCCATACACAGAATATATATGGTGACCAGATAGCAAATATGAAAAATCGGGATAAAGTGTGGGGGATAATAGGCACCTATATAAGAAAAATCCCCAAATATTGGGACTGTCTCTATCAAATCAGGACATCTGGTCACCCATTTATATATATATATATATATATATATATATATATATATATATTATAATTCTCTGAGCACTAGAAGATGTAAGTCCTCCCCTTATAAAATATATACTTTTGTATCCACTTGCTGTGAAAGCAACAGGGATTTTTTTTTTTAAATACCAAAATTGGAGAGGCAAAGGGAGGGGCCAATAGACCCATTCAGCCTGTGTGTGTTCAATAGAAAACAGCCTCCAGACCCACAGAATAGTCCAAGGCTTGGCATTGGAAAGGAGAGCTGGAAAGAGAAGACGGTTGGGTAGTTTCGTCACAAGTAGGGAGGGAGCTCAAACGCTCTCTGCGGGAGGGAAGACTTAGCCCCGCGAGGAGAGGAAGAAAGAATCAGACCAGAGTGCTGAGGCATACACGGTTCTCAATAAATCATGGCCTGGCTCTCTCCTGACTGATTGGCAGCACTCTGGCATGGCCAGTAGCATCAAGATGTGTGAATTATAATCACAGCAAAGCAGCTGATAAAGGAGTGGCTTGGCTGAAGTTTATGGACAGAATATAGGCGACTCCACCACAGAAAGGGGTGAATCGTATACGAGTGTCACTTAAGGAACGTCCCCCCCACCCCAACACACACAGTAATAAGAACCAGGCAGCAGCCATAAACCAGTAGAATCTGCTGCAAGTGTCATGACTGTTATTCCCAATGCAATCTAAGGTCACTACCCCCAGCGGATCATGAACCAGTCCGGGGCAGGCGGCTATGGACATTCAGTTCATCACTAGATGGGAAGGGGACCCCCCAATTATTTTCTTTTGTAACATGAGGTCACTGGAAAAGGTTGAAACCCACAGCACTAGGTGAATACCACTCTCAACAGAAGACCTATACGCAACCATTGAACAGGCTCTGGCCTGTCTGTCTATCTGTTGAATTGGCTAGCACTCCTTTGAAAATGCACATTTCCTCTAATCCATGCGTCCTGCTCCACATCCAAACTTCCATAACCAGGGTGATGTAATTACGTTCAGTCCTGGTTAATCCATGCACACATTTTATCTAGATATTAGGGGATTCAAGAAAAGGTTCCACTCCGAAAGAACAACCGAAAGAGCAAACCAATTTGCATTAACCAGGACTGACAGCATCAGGGAAACCCAGATAGCCAATTCTAAAATCAAGCACTTCTATCTGAAGCCTAGACAAAGAGCAACAACATTTCAGACACGCAGCCACACCCACGTGGCTAGCCACGCATAGAATCATAGAATATCAGGGTTGGAAGGGATCTCAGGAGGTCATCTAGTCCAACCCCCTCCCCTGCTCAAAGCAGGACTAATCCCCAGTTTTTGCCCCAAATCCCTAAATGGCCCCCTCAAGGATTGAACTCACAACCCTGGGTTTAGCAGGTCAATGCTCAAACCACTGAGCTATCCCTCCCCTGTTCCACTTCATTCTGAGGGCAACGGCTGCTAGCTAGGTAAAGGCATATGTAGCCATTCACTTTGCACCACACTACATTAATATTTAGCACAAAGATGAAACATGGCTTCTATTCCAGGAGATTAGTTTCAGGGAAGCCACTTAAAGAGGCCTGCACAGGGCCAGGACTAAGAGGCTGGTAGATGAAATGGATCTATTTGGCTACTGGCATTGTGACAATGAAAACATAGCTTTTAATTTTCTTTATTATTTGCTCCCCTGTGTATGAATGCATTCTATAATGCCCAAAACCCTCTCTGAGGTATGGTCGTCTTCTTCTGTCTTCTACCCCGTCGAAAAGGGTTTAGCTGCCGGCTGTGCTGTGGGTGGAAACAGATCAAACAGAACTGTCACAAGGGGAGCTGGCTCCTTTCAGGGACTTTGGGTACCTGTGCCTTGTTTTCCCCTGAAACATGGGATTGAGGAGCCCTGTGTGGAGCCCTGACCAGAGTAAGCATCACAGGTCACAGGAGTAGGATTGGCTGGAAGTGGCACCTGTGATGAAGGACCTAGATGCAGGCTCTCCAAGCCAGCCAGGCACAAAGCCTGGGTGAGATATCTGCAGGGAATAAGAAGCGCCAAGCGACCCTCTGAGGGTGAGGGCTGGAAGGGCCATATGAGCCCTGGGAAGGGAACATGGATGGTTCTGTGAAAACCCTACTGGCAAGGGAAGGAACTGATAAACAGGTTGAGGTTTCTTGTGCTGGCTTCCCGGGTGGAGGGGAGAATGTACAATGGATCACCTATCATACATATTGTGTATGGTGTGCGAGTAGCAACGGACACAGGAGAGGAACCGGAGGTGAGGTGGTGCATGCAGACTAGTGACAAGGACACAGATAGATGTTCATCTGTCATGTCATTTTGGCACACACAAAGCAGGTTGCAAAAGTTGAAGGCCAGGCTGCCGGGAGTGGGTGTCCACGAGGGAGGGCAGGTGGCATTCAGCACCAAAAACGGGAATGAAATTCTGATGCAAAAGTTCAAAGCCAACTGGGGTCAACACTGATTGCAGTTGGCACATCCAGCTGGAATAAAATTCAAGGATCATGCTGACCCTTGGGCAGCTGGAACTGCCTGGAATTCTATCCACCACATGATGTAGCATCAGCAAGCCCTCAGAGACCTGGAGTGTCATGATACTAAAGAGGTAGAGCCAACACAGACACCATTTTCATTCGTTTTGTCTTAATCATTAGAACAGGTGACTCTCTTACCAAAGTCCATGCGGTCCTTATGATTGCGCTGCAGAAGACCCAGTAGCAGCTGCCTCAGGTGGCTGGATGTCTCTCTGGGGATGCTAGGGTTTTTAGACAGTTGAAAACAAAAGTTAAACTTACAGACACCTTGAACAGCTCTTAAATATGAGTTAATGCAAACTAAAAGCCCCACCTCACACCTGTTGGGCTAGAAACAGAATCCACGCTCACTGCAGAGGAGCTGAAAGAGGAAACCACTTTATTTTTGTCCCAGTGGTGCTCACACCCAAATCCCTGTTTTGCTAGTGTTAAAGCTCTGGCTCCTCTAAGTTTAAAGACCTCTTCCACGAACATCTGCAGAGCCTTGCTTTTGAGAATGATTTTATAGCAATCTGGTTGGGTTCTCAGTAGTGTCTATTTCATGTAGAACATATAGCACAGAGTAAATAAAACAGATCACCAAGATGGAGCCCTTTATTCAATAGAAGCTTCTTGTTAAACCCCACAATGGGTCCTGAAGATCAGCGTTACCAATTTACAACTGATTTCATTAGATGTTTATGTTAAAAGACACAGATAGTTTACATAAGACCAGCACCCGCCCTTCAAAAAAATGACGTGTTCAATAGTATTTACAGTAGGTGCCCCAAAATCTGGGCCTTTGCCACCTACAAGAAGTTAAAATGAATGCCATATTTCCCCACGGTAAGTAAAAAGAAAAGTGGGATAAAGGCATATGCCTTGGGGGAAAAAGGTGTGTTATGTCCAGTCCTGGGGCCAAGTTCTTGATACACAGGCACACAGCGAGGAGCGTAGAATCACTGTATATGTTAGGGACGGGAAAAGATAATTCAGCTTTTGCATGAGTGGAGAGAGCTTTGTTGATTTCCCTCGGCGACTAGGAAGGACTGCGCCGGGGAATAATGTCTGAGACCTGCCCCCAGAGACAGCAGAGCTCTTCAAATGAGATGTAGCCAGATCCAGGCTCTGTCAGCATTAGCTCCGTTTATCACGGCTGGGCACAGCACCATCCCTGCAGTCAAACAGCCTCCCCTGCCTCCCCCCCATCCTGGGGGTCAGCTAAGGTAATGCCCTGCACCATCTGCACAGGAATTATAACTACACAGAGCCTCCAGCCAACCGTTGTTGTGGAACACACAGCCTGCTCGGGCCCACCTCCGCGGAGCCGGGTTAACCCCACCCCAGGACAGGCGGGCAACAAACTTAACTTTGAGAAGGGGAGCAGATACCTATTTACCCCTGCCTGCCAATTCTGCTCTGCTTCCACCTTCCCCCTCCCCAGCAGAGATATGAATGAAAACAAAGCGAAAGGAGAGCGGCTGGGGCCAGAGGGGAGAGTGCTGGCAAGCATTAACACTGTCTTGCTCAGTCACGAGCGAAACAGAAGCCATTAGGCACGATCTATATTGGAAGGCTTTGAAACTAGTCAGTTATTTTTTCTGCGAAGCCCTGGGCCTCTCTCTCAGAGGAATTCGGACCCAGCAATTCCTAGAACAGTCTTTGCAAGCATCACACCAGCCTTGTTTGTGCAGGAGGAGGTGTTTTGCAATCTCTCCCAGGCACAAAACATTAACAAATGCCTGCCCAGGGCAGGGTATCTAGACCCCCCAGAGAGGATGCATCTAAGGATGTGTTTATATTGCAATCACGGGGTATGATTGCATAAGGTGTAGGCATAGCTGATCTAATTTTAAGGTAGCCAGCACAGGTCCCGGACCAGCGAAGCTCCAGCAGAGAGAACTTCAGCACAGGCTAGCCCCATGAGTAATTACCCTGGGTAGGCTTGCAAAGCCCACAGTAAAGCCCATGCTGCCGTGACTTCACTGCTCCTTGACCCAAAGTAGCTATATTAAGCTAGCTCAGGTACATCTACACGAGCCGCAATCACAGCCCACAACTGCAGTGTAGACCGACCCCAATATTAAACTGAGGCTACATGTGGTCACAGCCAAGAGGACAGGTAGTTCAAGGTAGTTGTCAGAAAGCGGAACCCCTAGAAACACACTATAGAAGTGGTCCAAGACCACAGCTTTGCAAGCTATCCTGACCAATATGCCAGTGCTTATGGACTCCAGTCCCCGAGTCCTGTGGTGGTAATTTATTTATCCATTGCACACAGGCGATGGGTAACCTAAATAGCTCATCTAAGACACAGCTTCCTTTTCCTAGCAAGGTTCAGCTTTTATGCAGTTTTACAGCCAAAAATCAAGCAGGTCAAGTGCAATGCGTAAAGTCACATGGCAGAGGACGCGCACACTTTGAGCTGAAAGTATAACCACCAGCTGGAGGAGACATGCCCATGCTAGCTCTGATAGTTAGTGGGCTAAAAATAGACTGTCGCTGCAGTGCCATGGAGGGCTAGCTGCCCCGAGTACATACCGGTTTGAGATGCTAGGTACGTGCCCCACTTGCCTTGCTGCGGCTATACTCCGTTCTCAGCATGCTAGCTAGATCAGAGCCAGCGTGGGCATGTCTCCTCACCTTGGGAATCACCCCCCCCCCCGGCTCTAAGTGTCGATATCCCCTCTGCCACCTTATACGCTGCCTCTCAGAAGTGACAAGCTTGGCCACCCTTCAGCATTGTTTTTCCAAGGCCTAGGCCAAGCAATTTAACATGAACAATAAAAGCAGTTCCTCCTCCACACCCCACCCAGAGCGTGTTAACTCGCTGTGCAAATCCAGACGATGAATGTTCGTTATTTTGACTGGTACTAAATTACCATAAAATAATGAGGCCGTCTGGCTTGCTGCTCCCAGTGCGAGCTTCCCACCCCAGAGTGACATTTTATCCATCCACAGTCATGTCAGTTCACGAGGAACAGAGATTTCTACTGAGAGTTTAAAGAGTCTTCTCTCCCTTCCCCCCCAACCAAACTACATTTCTTCTCTGGTGACTGTGCCAGTGGGTGGGGAAACAGGTGTGCCCTGCCGATTAGCCCCGAGGAGAATGTAACAAGAGCCTGGCACTGCCCAGGCAGATGAGGGCGAGGGCTCTTGGGTGGTTTTGGGTTTCACTAGCCAGGCTGAGGAGGCCGTTTTATCCAGGTTTACTCAAGAAATGGCACAGAGCGTTGCACACATTATAAAGACACTCTCCAAAATCCAGGCGTTGGAAGAAAAATGGTAACACAAGGAAGGCTGGGGGTCTGCTTTTTTAGCAGGGCCTTGCTAATTCAGATGCAGCGCTGATAAATAAGGAGGTCTCTCACTTTATCATTGCCCTGTTTCATTTTTAATCACTGAATGCCTCCTCCCGAGCGCTCAGCAATTCACAATGCTGACAGGGCAGAACGCTCCTACTGGTGGAAAAAGGCTTTTCCTGGAAATGATTATATTTCCCAGGCATTAAATGTACAGATTCATAAGGGAACATGAATTTATTTTTAGGGATGAGCGGGGCGGGCGCATCTGCTTCACTTTCTGCCACGGGCTCCTCCCACCATAAGGCTGTTCTGACTCCCATGATCCCTTGGGCTACAAGCACGGGGGGGGGGCAGGGCTCACAATGTTCAACACTTTGATCAAAACCATCATTTTCGTCACAAGAAAAGAAAAAAATTCACGCACGTTGTGCATCGTTATGGATTTATAAAGCTTTGATTTCTTGACTCCCCTTTGGTGGCTGCTTTAGTGGATAAATTAACTATATACCCCCTGACACAATGAACTCACACCCTACAAAGTTATACACACTATTAAGCTATACACCCTCTACGCCAATTCCGCCTAGCAGCTCGGGATAGGATGTCAGGTCCGACAAGACAGTTTATGTGCAGTTCACTTTTCTTTCGTCCCCCACCTCAGGTAAATGTCATGCTGGGTTTGAGCTTCCCAAGTTGGGATCCAATTTTTTCCAAGGTTCAGAGGATCTGGAGTGTGGGTTTAAGTCCATCTCTAGAGAGTCAGAGGGAGGTTTCTAAAGGAGACAGCGTGGCTCTCATTTAAGAGCATAGCATCAAAATAAAAGCTCCCACCCATTTAACAAAAAAGCACTCTGTACGTCAGCTATTTCATTATTCCAGCAGTGACTTCATACCACTCTGGGATGAGAACGCTGCTCTCCTGACACACCCTGGGAACTGAAACAATTTCCACATGCCAAGGGCACGCACTCAGCTCTGTATTTCCCTCTGAAAGGGTTACAGGCTCAGGAAGTGGCTTTCCTGGCACATGGGAAACTGGGTATGTGACCTACATGCAGTGAATGAGTGCTACAGGATTGGTGCTGCTAGGAAGGCCTGCAGTATTGGATGCTACCTTGGGAAGAGCTTGCAATGGGGAAAACCATGGCTGCTCTTGAACCCAGTAGGTAGTACCCGACACAGGAAGGCCAACTTGCATATGGGGAACAAGGCCTTTGGAAATCGCTTGCAAAAAGTCTCTATTCAGCAGGGCAGCTTCCATACAAAGCATGTTCTAGGGTGCATGCATCAGCGAAATGGGTGTTTGTGGGAGGAGACAGAGCCAATTCGGGAAATCTACCAGCAGCTTGACACTCTCTGGACCACACTGCTGCTGCTTAAGGAATGTAGAGGCAGGTGGCCAAATAGTTAAGTCATATCCCCAACATGATGAGCTGATGGCACAAGAGGACAGGTGTAAATACAGACAGAGTAAGCAAGTAGGAAAAAATAGTAATGCTGGAAGAATGCTTACTTGGGCATCAGCATCTTGTTTTTCTCATAGAAGAGACGAAGATCTTGAGGGCTGCTGGCCTATGGAGAAGAAAGAAAACGTGTCTAGAGCAGCTTGCAATAACGCAGGGAGAGGAATTATTATTATTTTAACCTATTTCACAATTGCTTTGAAGTGTACTGTGGTTGCTTTCCTGCTGCTGGACTAGCAGGGAGAGCAGCTTCTATTTCAGGAGACCCTACAGACTGCAATACCCAGACTGTGGTGTGAACTGAAAATACAGTATTTCAGCCTCCTGTATTTTTGTCCCTGACCTGATTCTATTTTCCTCTCCTTTTCTGAAGGCTCAGCTTCATTTCCATGAGTTCTGCAGCTCAGTTCTAAGCTGCCCGAATAACCTTCTCCCAGGAGGCTAAATAATTGCAGACGTGAGGAGTTCCAAATGATGAATGGCAGCTCCTGCAGAGAACATGGATTAGTGCTTCGGGGTCTTAAGAAAGGGAGCAGGGAGGTTGTTGACGTGAAAGGCATCAGTGGAGAACACCAGTTCTCTTGAGAAACTGAAAAATCAAGACAACCAGACCCTAGCGTCTTTTGCCAGCAATTCTCAAGCTACAGCTGTTATCACGGATGAGAGAGTGTTTTTGGTCATGACCATAAAGAAATCAAATTCTGGGAGAGACAAGAGTTAAAAAAATAATGCTACCCACTATGAGAGGTTAGCCTCCAGAGTTAAAAATAAAGTCTCCAGGAAATAAGCAAAGTCCCACACAGCCTCCTCATGCTGTTCCTCTTTTGTTTGTTTTTTATGAACTAAATAATACAGAACCTGTAAATTTCCCCGAGAGTGTTCTTCGTGTCCAGAAGCTTTCAGCCTAGACCAATGGTCTCTAATGCAACGCAGTGTGGACTGGCTGGCATGCAAACCACAGTCATGGAGGCAAGTGGGAATGGGGAAGAGAGAAGGGAAAGAGTCACGCTCTGGCCCGATCACTGCTGCAGGATGCACTGTTTGCAAAAGGTGGGAGGCACTGGGAGGTCACAGGCAGTTTGTCCTGACCCTAGGGATCAGCAGAGAACCAGGCAGATTTACCAAAAGACCTCAAAAGACCAAAAGACCATTTCGGAATTGGAAGCATTTCAGGTCAACTAACCTGCTTAAGGAGCCAGCGGGGGCCATGCAGACAAACTGGGCTGTGGACAGGTGTGAGCTGTCACGGCTGCAGCATGCTTAGAGGCTGGACAAGCAGTCACATGGTTGTTTTGCCATTGGTGTTTAGCCAGCACTTCACAGCATGCTGCCCGTCTTCAACAGCACCTGCAGGCCTGAAGGTGAAAACTCAGCTAACGACAGCTACTGGGACAAATCGGAAGCCGAGCGAAGCCAATGGGAGATCAGTTGACTTCTGTATGTTTTGGATCAGGCCCTTCGTGAGCTGCAAAACTTCGGCTGATCAGAGTTTGTGACAAAGCTATTGTTTCTAAGCTCGCACGTGTGCTCATGCACGCACACCCCCACGCACGCACACACACCCCCCTTCCTACAAGGAAGCGGAGCTTCTCTTTCAGTGGAACAAGAAAGCTGTCCCAGATTTCCTTTCTGCGGCAACCGATCCCTCGTTATCACATGGAAAGAGCTGGGACAAAACTGGGACACAGTGATATGCTCCATTTTCCAGATTCACAAAAATGTTAAGCGACCCCCTGTGCAGCAGAGGTGGCTGCGTCACCGAAGACAATCCATGGGACGGCGTTTCCAAGCCTGGCAGTCTAACCTGATTTATTTCAGTACAGATCTGCCTTTTTTTTTGGTACCCTTCCCCCACATGGATCCTGCTCTGTGATTCGCATCTCATTGTTCGTCCAATTTCAAACAAGCCTGGGCACACATAACACAGAAGAGCTTGACAGCAAGGCTATGGACACACACATGCACAGAACCCTACAAGTGGGAATACAGTTCCACGACGATCAGGTTAAGTGTTTATTCATGTCAGCAAGAGATAGAAGGATTGTCTGTCTTCTTTATTCACTCCCTGGTTCAACAGCTCAATTGTTTTAGACATGCAATGAATCTCTGATCTATTTCAAACATTTTGTCAGAAGCTTCCTAGAAGTAACAGCTGCAGTATATCAAAGGAGCACGTCTTTAAAGTGAAAGTTAATTGGGAGCATGTTTTTTGAGCACAAATAAAACCCTTTAACAAAACTCCCCCTTTTAAAATTTAATAAAAAGGCAATTTAGGGACTACGGAAAGTTTGGACGCACAGGTTTGGAGAAGGGAGTCTTGCATTTATTTTCTGAACAGGTTTTATTGCAACTTTCCCCCACACTGGCTTAGCGAGTAGCTTCTCACCTGTTCTGGAGGCAACACATCTAGCAGTGGTAGGGTGGTTTAATCCCTGCCCAACTAAACTTTGGTCTCTTAGCTGGCGCTGCATTGGTAACTACAATGTAATCATGTGTCTGCTGGGAAATGGACTGACACTACCAAACCCGGTTCACATTGGCCACCAAACCCCCTCAGATGACACTTCTGATCACCAATGGCCCAGACAGGCCTGCATCATAGTGTAACCGCGTGACTAATCAGCTGAGCCATCCGGCTCCACGTCTAGGAATAAGCTAAGACTAGACCTACAATAACCATCTCGCTATACAGGCAGTGCTGATCAAGGCTGCGCACTGTTGGGAGAGCTCAGACGTCAACGATCTGTTGACTGCACTAACTATTCCATGCTTTTGGGGGGTAATATACTGCCCCCCCCCCAGAATAGAAATTCACAGGTACAGCTGGGCAAATAATGGCCGTTTCCATTTGCTGGCAATTCTGAAAAATTGAAAATAAATTTTGTTTCAGGTCAAATCAAAAACAAAAAGTTGCAATGAACTCACAAGTTAAAAAAATAAGAATCTGAACCTTTCATTTCAACCAACCCACTTTGTTTGCTTTGACAAAAACCAGGGATGACTAGATTCACAAAACACTGCGGGAGGGAAGTAGGCAGATCACCTTCAGCCCAGTGGTTAGGGTACTCTTCTGGGATGAGACACACCCAGGTTCAATTCCCATCTCTGCCTAATGTGGAGAAGAGATCTGAACTTGGATCTCCTACATTTCAGCAGGTCTCTCTCAATCTCTCCTGTTCTACTGCGTATAAATAATTAGTCACTGGAGCAGTTACTTGAACCTGGATCTCCCAAATCCTAGGTGAGCATGCTAAGCACCAGCCTATAGTATCATTCTCACTCTCTTCCCCTAGCTGACTAACTTCTTGTCACCTAGCCACTATCTGCTTCTGGTGTGTGTTTAAATCAGCACAGTTTCCCCAAATCCTGCAAAAACCAGCAGCAATTCTAGAAACGGAATTTCTCATCCCTAACAACACAGGACTGGCTCCGGTTAACTCAGTTTGGGGCTATAAAACCAGCCTGCTTTCCAAACAAAAGGTTTGTTTAAGTTCCAGGTATAAAAACCTTCCTTCATCAGTTGCACTGGAGGCTCATTTCAGAGTGTAAATTCCTTATGGTTGTTATAAATGGCACATAATCCTAGTACTTATCTAGGCAGAATGAACTGGGAAAGAATAGCGCAGCAGGCTCAGTGCATCAGGCTTGGAAATTAATTTTTCATCTAGCAGCTAGCTGGGATGAGAACACACACAGACAGCTTAACTCTTTCAGAGCTGGCAGACCAGCACTTTTAAGTGTTTGAACTATTGCCATTCTCATTTGTCTCTCTCTCTCTCTCTCTCATAGGCATAGAAAGTTGCAACACAAGCCTTAAACCCCACCCCACCCCACAAAATTGCACCCTGATTTTTAGAGGCGCCCTGCACCGGGAACTCCCAGGAACATCAGTGGTACTTGCTCCTCTGAAAAATTAAATCAAGACTGTACAACCTGGCCAAGTCTTACAAATAAATCAAGACCATAAGGAATCAAATTGTTTAGTCTCTAAGGTGCCACAAGTACTCCTTTTCTTTTTGTGAATACAGACTAACACGGCTGCTACTCTGAAACAAGTTAATTTTTAACTCTTGTGCCTGGTTCGAGCTCTGTCCCCAGGCTAAGAGACAGGCCACTGGACTGGGACTCAGGAGTTTGGGATTCTATTCTTAGCTCTGCCAGTGACCTGCTGTGTCCCTAGGCAAATCTCTTCCCCTCTCTGTGGCTGTTCCCCCCTCCTTCCCGTCTGCCTTGCCTATTTTATTGGTAAGGTCTTTAGGGAGAGACTGTGTCTATGTATTTGTCCAGGGCGCAGCACAAAAGGGCTCTGATCTCTGTTGGAGTTTCTAGATGTTACCATAACACAAACAAATAAAACAGCAAGAGAAGGGAAAACACAGTGTGAGCCCTCAGTCATATAAGGCAGAAAAGCCACAACTCTGGACCACCACCTCATTCGTTAGGCCAGGCATATTAACAATTCAACATTAATACAAAGCTCAGCAAATCTGTCGATAGGGATTATGCATCCTATTAATCTTACCCCCCTGGCAGGCTCTTTGTTTTGTTGATGGACATGTTTAAGATACAAAGCTCCTTTGGACAGCTTGGACAGTCACGCTACCAACTGTCCAGGTCTGACAATCAGACATGGTGTGTTTGTTGGGTGAGGAGAGGAATGGTGAAGTCAGGGAAGTTGGCTCGGGTGACCTGGCTGCTGTTCATTTTCATTTCTACAAACAGCTATAAAGAAGAAGAAAACCCACCCACCCTCTTCTGCCTTGATTTGGGAGGTTACATTTCCCCAGTAGAAAAGCAAGACAGTTGGACCCAGCCTTTCCACACGTGCTAGCTCCTTATCCATCTACCCAAGTCCCTTGAAGTCTATTGTATGTTTAAAGACTCATCTTCTTGCTGAGGACAACCTTTTGCGTGTACAGCACACCTGTGAGCCTCTCCAGATGTAGCAATGGATGCTCATGACAGGTGAAACGCAGGCAGATGTCGGAGGGGCTGGATCCCATATTCCATTGCACTAGGGGAAACGGCAGTCAGCCGTTCTCTGGCTCGGCTTGAGGAATCTAACAAAATCTTAACCAGACGTGCAAGTGTCCTCCCCAGGCACGGGCTAAATAAGCTACCTTGGCCGACGAACAAACTTCCACCCAGAAGGGTGAAACTCAAGGGGACCTTGCTCTCTGAGACAGCAAAATCTACAGGAAACAGATCACTGCTGAGGGGCAGCCACCATCTCCCGCTGGACCCAGCCAGGTTTGGGACAGGAAGAGGGGGTTGCATTCCTCTGAAACATCAGGCACTGGCCATTGCCAGGGGAAGGACACTGGACTAACAGGCTCGTCCAGCCAGAGTTTCTTTGTTCTGCATTTGGGTTATTTCAGGCTCAAGACACACTCCAAGCGGTCTCAGTTGGACAGTAGAAAGCAGGCACCTTTACGAGTGTTGGAGGGATGCAGCTGCCTCTTTACCTTCTTTCCTTGGCTGATCTGTCCAGGCACCCTAGCCACCTCCCCACTCTGTGCTAATTTTGCTGCTCTGCAATCCGCTCAGAAATGTCAAAACCGAACCCTGCTTTATCCAGTCCGCACCTACCAACAATTGCACTCCATGCTCTCCCCACCTCTTTGCACAATTGATTATTATCGACTCCAAGACCTTCAGCTGTTGCAGCACCTCTTGCAAAGCCTCCAATGGTGCAAATGAGGGAATAAAGTCCTTTAACATTTAACTAGCTCTCGCAACATCTGCCACAGGCTGGCTTCATTTGCCTAGAACTTACAATCTGGGAAAAGCGGTTGGTAACCCCTGTCTTAAGTGTAAACACACGATCTCAACACACACACATACTCAGAGGACCATCTGGACTGGGCTTTGCTTTCTCCCTGATCAAACAGATTCATAACGGTTACTGTAGTAACAAAACAGGGCTCAGTATCTTGTTGCCAAAGCACAACCCCCAAAAGATAGAGGCAAGGAAATCAAGACAGATGTGCAACATGTACCCACTAAAGAAAAACACTCATTCCAACCCATGCACGCTGCATCTCTGCCTAGCAGAATCTTCTGAAGTCACTCTTCTCATGCCAAGGAGTTAGGTGACCCCTTACTTCCCTATGCAAGCTACCCAGATCGCTGATCTGACAGCACTGTAGGGTTGCCTCATCTCTGCATAAGTAAGCGGGCAGAACAATAGAAAGAGCTTGGACTCTGCCCTTCCCCTTCACTGGAGCCCCAGCCCCAGCCCCAGGCTGGCAGAGTTGAGTACAGCAGGCTGGGTAACATATTTGCCATGACAATTTTCTAAAAAGAATATTGTCACAGGAAAATTTCCATGTAGTTACAAAGGCATTTGTCACTGAATAATAATAATGGACATACGTAAGGCTTTTCAAAGAAGTCAGCCACCCCAGGGTTGCCTGTGAGTGCAGCATGCCTACAATGCCAGCTCTGGCCAACAATGTCAGGGAAATTTCCATCAGTAGTTTGTGTGGAGCTTTGAGATACTTTAATAGTGGGCAAGGATCTCATTTATATGTGTGAGTCAAAGCTTTGTGTGTATACACACACAGCTTTATTTTAAACAAACACAATATTTATTTTCTTTTCTCCTAACAGTTATTTCTTCCCCCTTCCCCATTAAACAAAGCTGTTGAGACTGAGAACAAGAAAATGTAACCAACCACTATGAAATGGTCAAAATTTCCATGCCGACCATAGGAGATACTGTAAAACCAAAAATTACACATGCAGGGAAGATGAAGGCTCACTTTTGTTACAGAGCGAGGTGGGCAAACCAGAAAGCATTGTCAGAGAAGATCCCAAAACGGAGATGAAAAAATAACCCTGGCATCTAGAAAGGAAAACATGCCCTCAGCACTGAGACCACACCAAAATAAAAGCCTCAGTTTACGGCCACACTCAACCATTCCTTCCTGTAAGATTTCTAACAGGCTTGTAAATCACCTTATCCCTCCCGGTTACATAACTTCATAAACATTCAAGATCTCACTTTAAGTTACGAAAGTTCTGAATCTAAAGCAGAGAAAATCCAGCAGCTTGTAAAACGGGGCTTATGTCACTGGAGAGTTTTCTTTTAGTTATCTTCATTTTCAGTGAGTCAGTCATTCGGATGGATTGGGGGATGGCGGGGAAAATCAGGTTTCAGTGGCCACTGCAACAGTGATCAGGGTTTCAAAATTCAGCCCCCCCAAAAAGAGCGACCTGAGATCAATTCATATCTGATGAGAAGAACTGACGTTTTCATGGCCGTTGTCCCCATGTCGCTCTGCACTGATACGCAGAAAACCCTGGTTTGATTCTTGGTCTCTTGCTTCCTGGGCTAAAAAAGAGACAGGAGCCCACACACTGAGACTCTGGGTAGGTCTACGCTGCAGTTGGGGGGTGCCATTTCTGCACGTATAGGCAGACCTTGCTAAAAATAGCCGTCTAACCACAGAGGTATGGACTGAGGTTCCTGTGCACTCTGGGGCTATGCCTACACATACGGCAATCTCACCTCGCGGCTGCAGTGTAGAAATAGCCTCTGAAAAGTAGGAAGCAAATTGCACATCACTCTGCAATGCACCCATCAACGCGGATGGATAGGCTCCAAAAGGAAGTCCCTTGATAGTGCTCCCCTGGCTAGAAAGGCGGCGATCATGCTAGGGAAAGGTTTTAAGTCTGTATGAATGTCCTGGAAAGGGGTACGGAACGGGAGGATTTGGGGAGTTCAACAGGTAGGTGGAGGAAACCATGGACCCCCCGTTGCTTGGCATAAGAGGAACAAAGCAAGATGAGTATAACCATATGTGAGCAACTGGTGCTTGGGAGGAGAAAACTGGAAGCTGAAGCTAGATGGAAACAAGGTGAACAGTGTGGGTAATTCACTACTGGAACAATTCACCAAGGGATGTGCTAGATTCTTCATCGCTTGGCATCTTTAAATCAAGTATGGGTGTCTTTCTTAAAGACAGGCTTGAGTTTAACCAGAAGTTATGGGCACGTTAGGTGGAATTCTAAGGCCTGGGTTAGATGCTAGATGATCATAATGGTCCCTTTCTGGTCTTGAAAAAAAACCAATATTTACACAGAAGACTTCTTCAATAAGACCTTCCTAATCTACTCCAGAAGCCAGGCTATTTCAGCTACAATGTACCATTTCAAAGCAGAGTCATACCAATCAGCCATAATATTTCCCTTCCGATTAGTTGATCTTCCTCATAGTTCCTACACCAGAGGTGGGCAAACTACGGCCCGTGGGCCACATCCAGCCCACGGGACCGTCCTACCCGGCCCCTGAGCTCCTGGCCCAGGAGGCTGTCCCCACTCCCCCGCAGCCACGCCGCAAAATGCTCTGGGTGGCAGGGCTGCAGAGCACAGCCCGACCCAGTGCTCTGTGCTGCGTGGCTGCCTGTCCTGGTGCAGCCACACTGCCAGCCACCAGTGCTCCAGGCAGCGCGGTAAGGGGGCAGGGAGTAGGTGGGGGGAGGGTTGTATAGAGGACAGGGGACAGGGGCGTGGATAGGGGTCTGGGCAGTCAGAGGGCAGGGAACGGGGGTTGAATGGGGGCAGGGGACGGACAGTCAGGAAGGAGAGGAGGGGTTGGATGGAACGGCGGGGGGCAGTCAGGGGACAGGGAGCAGGGGGGTTGATGAGGCAAGGGTCCCAGGGGTTGGCAGCAGTCAGGAAGGAGAAGAGAGTTGAATAGGGTAGTGGGGGGCAGTTAGGGGTGATGGGTCCGGGGGTGGTCAGGGAGAAAGGGTGGTTGGATGGGACAGGGGTCCCGGGGGGCAGTCAGGAAATAAGGGGGGGGTTGGATGGGGCAGTGGGGGGCAGTTAGGGTGGGTGGTCCGGGGGCAGTCAGGGGACCGAGAGCAGGGGAGGTGGATGGGGCAGCGGTTCCCGCAGGGCTGTCAGGGAACAAGGGGGTTTGATGAGGCAGGAGTCCCGGGGGGGCCGTTGGGGGCGAGAAGCGGGGGGTTGGATGGGGCGGGGGCTGAGCCATGCCTGGCTGTTTTGGGAGGCACAGCCTCCCCTAACTGTCCCTCCATACAATTTCAGAAACCCAATGCGGCCCTCAGGCCAAAAAGTTTGCCCGCCCCTGCCCTACACCCTCAAGCGTAACAGAAAATATATTATTCCCTGTGCACAGTCGTAAAGGGAAACTGATTTTAAAGCAAGCTGCTGGGGACACCATTGTTTTAAGGGTCCAAGATAATCTTCTGAAAAGCTGGCCTTTCACAAGAACACACGCACATGGGGATATATTTCCGCTGCTGCCCTGAGGCAGACTCTGGAGAAGAAGCATTGGCCTCTACCAATATTTGCAGCACTGAAAAAAGATGGGAGCATCCCATTGATTTGAGAATTAATGAGCCTATCTTGCTCAGTGGGATGGACAGACAGACAGGCTGATTTGCCTGGAGACTGGGTTCCTCATGCTCAGTATTGTATGTGACCCCTGGTGTGGGTGAAACAGATGAAAAACAGCAAGAAACTCACCAAGCATTAATAGCCATAGAGCCACTCACCTGGAAGGGAGCCTTTCCTGTCAGACACTGGTAAATGATGGTTCCTATACTCCAAAGGTCAGCTTTAGCATCATAGTGTTGGGACATAATGACTTCTGGGGCCTGCGTGGAGAGAGAACACAGCGTTCTGTTTACAAAGACTTGGCTCTTTTCTTGGCAGCTGCCAGAGAAACAGAAGCCCCTAATTTTTAAAAAAAGCACTGGGCCAAGATTCCACAAAAGAAAAGAGATTAAAAACTTTTCCCCCTGCTTTAAAGTGCTGCATTCATATTAGCAAGGAGGCAGTTTCATAACACTAATCTGGTTACTTGAGGCATGGTGTTACCTTAGGCACTGCCCACTTTACTTTTGCCTGATGCACTGTAGGCAAAAAACAGTGCTTCCCCTTGTCAGGCATGACAATCTCTATTGAATCAACTTGCAAACAAAGGAGTCCCTTTAGAACAGCACAGGCATCCCTTCTAAAACAAAGCAAATGCACACACACACACACTCCAGTTCAAGTCCCAACTTTACCAATTACAGCCATGACAAACAAGGGATCAAGTTGGTACAGGTAACTCAGCCCTTCCTACTCCATGGATTTCTTAAGAGGCTAACCCAAGCAGGCAGCTGTGACGTGTGGCAGCAGTCATGCCAGTGGACGTGACTGGAGTTCAAAAGCAGGCCCATGTGTTTATCCAAAAGAGGTCACTCCCCACAATCTCTGTGGTCTGTAACCTTCCACAAAATGCACACCACTCCTCATGGCAGGTTTGCTCCAGAAGCTAAAGATAGCATGGATTCAGAGTGATCAATAGCTCAGAATGCAATGTGCCTCTTGATCTGTGCAGAGGTGAAGGTGGGAGAAGGACAGGCTAGCTTAAAACCTATATTTATAAAAGAGACTTCCTCTAACGCTCACAGAAGACAGGACTGGAAGGGGATCAGTTTTCTAGCTCTGCCACAAGCAAAGGACAAGAAAAGATTTGTTCCCTTTGGACTGGCGGTGGTGTTGGGAGGAGAGGGGACAAAACAAAAACACCCCACTCTGAACAACGCACGGACAGGAAGTCCTGCCTGTCTGCCTCAACACCAAATGAACAGAGTCAAGGAAACGGCTGTCAGTGGAAGATGTGGATGCTCAGGACCATTCTGGGTGAGGACCCAGATTTCCGTAGGGGTCAGACACAGCCCCCTTTGCTGCATCCTCACACTGACATAGCATTCCTCTTACTGTGGCCAGGCAAGAAAGTAGGGCTGATTATGAGCATGCATGAGGACACACAGATAGGGAATGCAGAGGCCACCCCACCCATCTGTTGCTCAGCATGCACACACAGGGACCCATGACAGCAGCAGAGTAAACCCCTTAATGCCCCCCAGAACTCAGAACACATTTTACTCAGAACTTAGCACCCCCGCACATCCCCAAAAAAATCACCTTTGAACCAAGAACATAGAACATTTTAAACCCAAAAGGAATTCCCAGAGTACTTCCAAAAAAAAAAATTGTCTTCTCTCACTTTAAACGTGAACCAGATATCTGATCTACTTGCAAGAGAACGTAAAAGAAAAAGCGTCACTAAAAATAGACAGTTCAGGAAAGTTTCTCAAGAGGTTACATCACCCTTATATACAGCACGTCAACAAACAACTGGCTTCAACAATAAAGCGAGAGGAAGTCAGGCTTGCTTTGGTTTGCACCGACAGACACAGTTTTAAACACAGTGGAGCTATAGGCCACTGTGTAATGCAGCCAAGACCTGTGCCAGGATGAAGGCTCAGGCTGGGGGTTTTAAAAGGAGCTTAAGGAAAGTAGGCATTTAAACCACATTGAAATTCAATGAGAGTTGGCCATCTCAGGCAATGTCTATAATAAAAACACAGCAGTGGCCCAGCTGCACCGTAGACACTACAGTGACCGAAGGGGCTTTTCTATCCCTGTAGTAAATCCACCTCTCCCAGAGGCAGTAACTAGGTCAGCAGAAGAATTCTTCCCTCGACCTAGCACGGTCAACAATGGGGCTTAGGTCAGCTTCACTACATTGCACAGCCCTGAGCGACTTAGTTAAGCTAATCTACCTTTATAGGGCAGACCAGGTCTAATTCCCCATATCACCTTTGAAAACCCCAGCCTGAATTAATGGGAGAGCATCGACTTTCCAATGAATCAAGCAGAGCAGTCGCACGGACCACATCGAAGGCCTGGTTTGGTCATTTTTAATTTTGCTGCCTTTGTGTGAGTGATACACCGAGGTTATTTTATACCAGTTGACTCCATGCACACGAACAAGCAATTATCACATTACATTTCATCCCTAAGGGTTGTGGGTGGGGTGGTTTTTATTTTAGTATGTCTGTTTGCAATCTAAGCAAATATCCTGCAGGCAACTGGCTCGACCAAGGCACAAAGTTGATGTGGATCGCAATAGAAGCCAGGCGAACTTCACTTACAGTCATTGTTTTAGAATTAGGTTAGGCTGTGAAATAATATTTAGCAGCAGGTTTAAAGACTGTAGGGGTAGATTCTCCAGGTTACCTACGGAAAGCTGAGAATTCACCTCTCTCCTTGAGAGACGGGTCATGAGAGCAGATACCCAGATATTTATAACCCGAAATCTCTCTCGTTTGGAGTTTAATTTTAGTGCTTGTGACAACAGAGAGGGTGATTTGGAAAGCAGTGAGGTGCAGGCACCATGCCAGCTTCCTAACATAGCCCTACATTCTTGACTAGTCACAATCCTCTCTGCTATCCTACAACCTCCTCTGGAGCATGCTTTAAACACATAAAAGCATGGTCTCCTTTGTTTGAAAGTAGGTGTCACCTTGTATCTCAGTAGCTTGCTCTGAAGCTCAGCCTGACGCAGGACAGGTTTCTAATCAAGATTTGGAGGCTACAATTCTTCCATCAGTCCCACTTTATCCCTCTACTAATGGGGCACAACTCTTACTGACAGCGAGGAGATGTCTATACACAAATGTATAGGGAATAAACAGGAAGAACTGGAAATATTAGTACGTAAGTCCAGTTATGACTTAACTGGCATCACAGGACTTGGTGGGAATAAGTCTCACGACTGGAATGCTTGTATAGGGGGAGATATTTGATCAGGAAGGGCAGGCAGGGTATAAAAAGGGAGGCGGTGTTTCATTATACATCAAGAATATATACACTTGTTCTGAGGCCCAGAAAGAGGTGAGAGGCAGACCATTTGAGAGTCTCTTGGTAAAGACAACAAGGGTAAAAGACAGTAGTGCCATCACAGTATGGATCTGCTATGAACTACCAAATCAGGAGGAGGAGACGGATGAGGCATTTCTAGAACACCACAAATATCCAAAACACAAGATCTGGTAGTAATGGGAGACTTAACTACCTAGTCATCTGTTGGAAAAGTAATACGACAAATCACAAAATTTCCAATAAGTTCTTGGAATGTATTGGCCTCAACTTGTTGTTCTGGAAAATAGGAAGTAATCAGGGAAACAGCCATTTTAGACTTGATTCTGACTAACAGGGAGGAATTGGTAACATGTATGCAGGTTGAAGGCAATTTGGGTGAAAGTGATTATGAAATGACAGATTTCACAATTCTAAGGAAAGGAAGGAGTGAGAGTGGCAGAATAAAGGACAAAGCAGACTTTGACAAACTCGGAAAACTGGTGGGAAACATCCTGTGGGAAGAACATCTGAAAGAAAAAGGAATTCAGGAGCGCTGGCAGTTTCTCAAGTAGACAATATTAAAGGCACAACTGCAAACTATCCTGTAACGAAGGAAAGATAGAAAGAATAGTAAGAGGTAATATGGCTCCATCAGTAGATCTTTAATGACCTGAAACATCAAAAAGGAATCCTACAAAAAAGTGAAAACATGGACAAATTCCTAAGAAGACACAAACGAATAGCACAAGCATGTAGGAACAAAATCAGACAGACTAAGGTGCAAAATGAATTACAACTAGCAAGGGACATAAAAGGCAGTAAGCATAGGTTCTTCAAATACATCAGGAGCCAGAGAAAGATGAAGGAAAGTGTAGGGCCTCTACTTAGGGGGAGAAGCAGAGCTAATAGCTGATGACATCAAGAATCCTGAGGTGTTTAATGCCTATTTTGCTACAGTCGTCTCTAAAAAGGTTAATGGTAACAGACACTCAGCACAATTAATATTAACAACAAGGGGGAAGGAACCCAAGCCAAAAGAGGGAAAGAACAGGTTAAAGAATATTTAGATAAGTTAGATATAGTCAAGTTGGCAGGGCCTGATGAAATTCATCCTAAGGTATTTAAGGACCTAGCTGAAGCAATCTCAGAACTATTAGCAATTATCTTTGGGAACTCATGAAGGATTGGTGAGGTCCCAGAAGACTGGGGAAGGGCAAACATACCTGTCTTTAAAAAGGGGGAGCAAAGAGGACACATGAACTTATAGACCAATCAGCCTAACTTCGATACCTGGAAAGATACTGAAACAAATGATTATTTAATCAGTTTGTGAGCACCTGGAAAGTAATAGTGTTATATAGAGTAGCCAGCATGGATTTGTCAAGAACAAATTACGCCAAGCGAGCCTAATTCTTTCTTTGACAGTTACTGGCCTAGTGATGTACACAGTCCCCCATGACATTCTCATTTGCAAAGTAGGAAAATGTGGTCTAGATGAAATTACTATATGGTGAGTGCACAACTGGCTGGAAAAATGTACTCAAAGACTAGTTATCAATGGTTCATTATCAAACTCAGGGGACATATCTAGTGATCACAGAGATCTATCGCAGGTCTGGTATTATTCAGTATTTTCATTAATGACTTGGACAATGGAGTGGCGAGTATGGTTAGAAAATCTGCAGATGGGATCAAGCTGCTGTGATGGTTGCAAGCATTTTGGAGGTCAGGATTAGAATTTAAAATGACCTTGACAAATTGGAGAATTGGTCTGAATTTAATAAGATTAAATTCAATAAAGACAAGTGCAAAGTACTTCACTTAGGAATTCAAAATCAAATGTACCGCTACAAAATGGGGAATAACGGGCTAGCTGGTAGTACTGGTGAAAAGGATTGGGGGGTTATAGAGGATCACAAATGGAACAATGTGATGCAGCTGAGAAAAATGGGTAAAATATAATTCTGGGATGTATTAACAAGAATGTCATATGTAAGACACAGGAGGTAACTGTCGTCTTGCTCTATTCACTGCTGAAGAACTGTGTCCAGTTCTGGGCACAAGACTTTAGGAAAGATCTGGACAAATTGGAGAGAGTCCAGAGGAGAGCAACATAAATATAAAAGGTTTAAAAAACTTGACTTCTGAGAAATGGTTAAAAAACTGGGTGTGTTTAATCGTGAGAAAAGAAGATTGATGGGGGACCTGATAAGAGTCTTCCAATATGTTAAGGGCTGTTATAAAGAGGACTGTGATCAACTGTTCCCAATGTCCAGTGAAGGCAGGACAAGAAATAAAGGGCTTAATCTGCAGCAAGGGAGATTTAAGTTAGATATGAGGAAAAGCTTTCTAATGGTAAGAGTAGCTAACCACTGGAATAGGCTACCAAGGTTGTGGAATCCCCATCATCAGAGGTTTTTAAGAACAGGTTGGATGAACACCTGTCAGGAAAGGTCTAGGTTTACTTGGTCCTGCCACAGTGCAGAGGGCTGGACTTGATGATTTCTCAAGGACCCTTCCAGCCCTGCATTTCTATGATTCTGTGCTCACATATCACACCAGAAAAAAAATGTATCCAGCTTGCTGTCATCTAGCCCAATCAATATATACAGCAGGTACACCACGGGCTGGCTGAAGGACAAACAGAGGGCCACTGTCTCTCAACACTGGGAACAGACAGCAACGGAAGAGAGGACGCTTTGTCCGGAAGGCCCTTTATCAAGGCAGCACCTTGGAAAAAGCCTTATGGCTGCAATGTCATTCCTATTCCTAGTTTGCATCTTTGCTACTCAGCCTGCAATAAAGGGATAGCACTGATTTTAGATCCCAAAGCCTTAACTGAAGGGCCCTGCTTGCTATCTGGAAGAGGCAATTTCTGAATGGGGTCAATCAATAGTCTATTATTATTTACCAGTGGTTGCCTGAAAGGCAGATGCCAGCACAGCAGCATAGATGTTTGCCATCTTGCCGCTCAGAGAATCTTTATCAGGTCTCCCACTAGGGTTTCACTTTACAGCAACAGCTTTAAGAACCCAAAATCCAGGTCTTGGGGGGAGGAAAGGAAGAACTAGGCTTAACGGTTGCACAGCGCTTTGACTGGAATAACCTAAATAACCACTGCAGGTTCCACATGTCAGGTAGGGCCTGCTTTTTGCTAGCCCATACAATACCGCAGTTTGACCACAAAAAGGTACATAAACAGAGAGCACTTACCATGTACATAGGTGAACCACACAGTGTTGCTGCCATCATGTTGCTTTGCAGGTACCGGGCAAATCCAAAATCAGCTGCAAACACAAAGAAAAAAAGTTCATACACTCGTTCTAGAGAAGCCCAACCTTTCTTCAGTTGCCTCAATCCCCAGCGTGGGCCCTCCTCTGTCTCCATGGTCCCTCAATAGAAGGGACGTCCCCCATTTTGAATACAGAACTTGTACTCTCCCCCCGAGCTAACCCAAGTTTCTCTCACTCATTATTACACGTTCCATACAACAGAAAGGGTTGAGACAATGCAGCTATAAAAAGCATTCTATATGAAAAGGAAGGAATCCCAATTCACTTAAAGGTGCCCACAGTCACTATTTTTCCTGTGTCTGTTGTTCAATATTTGTTGTTTTCAGGTGGACTCCAGTGGCCAGATTCTCAGCTGGTGGACACTGGGAAGCCTCTGTTGACTGCTATGGAGCTATGCCTCTTTACACTAGCTGAGCATCTCGTCCGAGATTTATGGATGCAGCGAAGGTCCAGCATAGCTTGATAGCTTTCCCTCATTACTTGCTACTACTTCAGATTTGGGGAACTGATCATTACACTGCATGACATAGGGCAGGAGGCAGGGTTGGACCACAATGTAACAAACATCAGCAGGGACCCACCACCATCTGTATCTTTGGAATATGCTCGGTTGAAGCAGTATTTGACACTGCTGTTTATATCGCCATCTGTCATTAGAATGATATTATGTCTGACTAGTCCCACTCCTGGACCACACACTGTCCTCCTTAAGGAAAAGGGATGGTTAAACAGCAATGTGCGTGAAGGGTACGACGAACCGAGACTAACGCAGCACACATTAGCTAGGACTGCTGTTTAGATGGCCCTCCATTTTTATGTGCCTGTGGGTTATTAAACACTTCTACTTTCCATCCATGCTTGAATTCTGGAGAACGCTTCAGCTACAGCTGAACGGCTGCAAAATTTCACACAGTCTTCTCCGGCAGACCTCATTTCTCAGCCAAAAGGCACTCATGCTTTCTCCTCAAGACAGAGTTGAAACAGAGCGTGGTGTAATTTAACTGGTGTCAGTCAACAAGCAGTATAGTCCAACAAGTGTCCATGAATCAAGAAGAGACTACACAGCTCTCCTTTAAGAGAGACCTTGGGTTCAATAACTGGGTTTCTGGTGTATGTTTGTGTAGCCCGTTGATCAGCATATGATACATGGACCCCTCTGTGCTTGATCCACAGGGGATGTGGGTCCATCACATCCAACCTGGTTCTTAAGCTTGAGCTGTAAACGGACATTTTTAGCTCTGGAGGTTTCTGAGTCAATCCCGGGGGGCAGCCAAGATGGCAGCCATTATGTGCTGTTTTTTAAATCAGAGCTCAGCATTCACAAAGTATGTAGGGATTGCAGTCTTGGGACACCAAAATTCCCTAACTCTCCTATTGCACTCTGCCAGCATGCCCCACCTCTCGTTTAAAAGGCCAGGACAAATCAATCAATATCACTGCCTAGACCACTGTTGCCCAGGGGAAAATGAATGACTGGTTTTTCTGAGAAAGACACCTCTCAACTTGTAACTGGACTGAGTCCACCCAATTCATTTTGCATATGTCACAGAACAGCCAGAGCATAAGAACTCTGTCACTCACTAACTACCAGGGATGGTCTGGAACGAACGATCCAGACAATCACTAGATTAGCAAAACAGGTCATGTTTAAAAACAAAAGACTTGCTAATTAAAACAGGTTAGGTTATGTTTAAAATATGCTAGCTATTTTCCTAGTCTAGACAGAGCCCGAGAGATGAAAGGCTCCATATCTGAATACTCATCCTTAGGCTAGGAAGTCAAACTATATATAATCCACATGATTACCCATGATTTCATTTAAACATCACGGGGAGCTTGGGTGGATACAGCTGATGCACTAGAATTTAAGACTTAACCACAATAGTTATCCAGCAGAGCAGTGCTGATCGGCATCCACTTCTTTTGGAACAAGTGTAAGAAACAAAACAAATGGATACCGGGAGGGACAGACATTCAGTTGGTGTGAGCTAGCATAGCTCTACTGATTTCACCAGCATTACACTGTTGCACACCAGCTGAGGATCTGGCCTGGAGAGCTTTCAGGACATTCCACTGCAATGGTGAAACACTAATCCTAATTCCCCTCTGATCAGTTCACTTGTTTCTTATCCAGTTGCAGCAGTCTGGATTGGCTAGTTAGCCATTTCCAAAACCATGTTGATGGTTCTTGGGAAAGTGTTTCTTAAAGCAGGATATAAAGAAAGGTTCTTACCAATCTTTATACGAATGTTGTTAGGATTTGACTTCTTGCCTCCAGCATAAGAAAGGAGGATATTCTGTGGTTTCAAATCCCGATGGATGATACCTTTGCTGTGTAGCATTTTCATGGCACCTGCTATCTGCTGGAGAAAGAGCCTGATGGTATCTTCGCTAAGCGTCCGCATAGCTGGAAGGAAAAACAGACAGAACGATTGTAACACCAGCCATCACGAAGCAAAGCAGAAGGCAGCTTCCCCACAGAGATGAACAAGGATAACTCTGGATCCAGCACTTCCAACGCTCCCTCAAGCTACTCAGTGAGAAAGTAACTACACGTGGCTTTTATTAAACTGGTTCTTGAAGAGCATCCCTTGAAGTATTGGTGACTAGACTGCATTCTCCTCCAGATCTGAAATGATGCAAAGAACCGTGAACCAGATCCTCAGCTGCTATAAATCAGCATAGCATCACTGACTTCAGTGGCAGCTCCATTGACTATGGTGAAGATCCTCCCCTGGTGTACATTGGTGTATCTGGCCCTGTAACGGTACGCACCAACAGGGACAAGACTGAATATACATCGCTCTAGTAAACAACGTGTTTTTTTTAAATTAATAAAGTTCTATAAATGTGCATGCAGCTAACTGCATTCTCCTCAGAGGCAGGCCTTCTAGGACCTTTTGATTTTAAAAACAAAGAAATACAGAAAGGATCAAGAAGCTAAACAGGATCCCACATCTAATGAGGTTGATCCAAAATTAACTCCAGCTATTTTATGAATCATCTTTCCCCCCACCTCTACAAGACATCTGTAAGACACGCCTACCAGAGACGGGATCCGGCCCACTGAACACAGAACAAGCCTCAATAGCAATACTGTGTGACGCCTTCCTGGATGGATGCTAATATTCAAGAACAAATAAGGTTCAAAGACATACCTTTCACTTGAATAAAACCATCTCTCTCGTAAATGCCCCAGTAATTATTGGGGGGTCCATTAATTGGGGGCACCAGCTGTTCTCTGGTAAGGCCTTAAACCATCCTGGCAAGAGCATCAAAACACTATTCTACCATCTCAGCTAAAGTGGAGGAAACCTTAAGACAACACAGAGCAGGGCACAAGCAGTTTTAGCCCAACACAGGAAATTAAATATTTTACTTTAAAACACGTGCATGCAAAACAGCAAGAGACGTGGGCTGACTGAACCTCATTAGAATAGAAAAACTCCCATCCCAACTTCCAAATCTTCGCAGGGAGACTCACGACTAGCAGACCTAAAATGTCACTCAGTCAACCAGCTGATCATTGCTTCATACATGTGACACCAATGTACAGGTATGCAGAGCTTCTCTTCCCCCACTGGACTCTGTTCTCATGAGCCAGCACGCTACTGGAATTTACAAGACACCTACTCTTCAAGTGGAGTCTTGGTGAATGGAATATACTAATTGTTACAAAGGCATCTTGAAATTTTAGTCCGACTAATCCTGACAGTATCTTATATGAAAAGCATGGTCTCATCTTTAACACTACATACTCTCAGGAGCATGAAGGGGGAGATCCGCACCTGGTGTACATTAGGGTAATACTCCATTCATTTCAATGGAGCCATGTTGATTTACACCAGCGAAAAGACAAGTCTAGTATGTCCAGCAAGACTGGTTACATTCTCCTCCATGCCAGTTTCTCTTGAATAGACTGTTCCTCATGATATCTATCCATCCATCCATCTGTGGTACTTTTATATGGCTCCCATCACCACAGTATCTGCTCACCTCACAATCTTTAATGTACTCAACATCCTGTGCTATTACCACAGTTTAACAGATGAGGGAACAGAGACCCAAAGAAACTAGGTGACTTGCCCAGCATCACACAGAACTTCTGTGGTGGAGCTAAGAGTTGAACCCAGGTCTCCCAAGTGCCAGGTTAGCGTCCTAATCACTGGATCATCCTTCCTCCCAACACCTTAGCTGATTAGAAGTCATGATTCACATGTCTACAACCACAGCATCAGGTCTTCTGAACAGGCAACACTGACTCAAAAAATCTGCTACAGAACCTTTGGAACAGGGACCATCATCACTAAAAGAGTACGACAGCCCCTCCCCCTCCACAAATAATCTCTTTCAAGATTTATTTTGGACCCACAAATCTAATGGGCCCCACTGTCTCACTATCTGCCTAACAAAAAAGTACAACTCTAAACTCAGCAGTACGTATGCTGTCAAGCTACCAGGCTATTATAGATTCCTTTAGCTTAACACCCTTTGCCTCTAGCAGTGAAACAGTCTTGCAAAAGTCTTGTTCTGACCTGCAGTGCTGCCAGCAAGCCACAATGTTTTCAAGGCATTACCCTCTCTGAGCCGTTTCCATATAATTTACCAGCTAAAAGAGTTAAATGCATGATAAGCCATCTCCCCGCCCCGCCCATGTTAAGAGTACATAACCTGGAGCTAGTCTTCTACTGCTTTACACTGCAAAAATAGATTAATAGGGGGATTTACAAAAATCCACTCATTTTGGAGAAAACAGTGGAGAATTTAAGCTTCCACTTAAACAAAATTTAAGTGCCACGTTCTTAAGCGTGTGAAGACATAAGCTCCCAAACATGAGTAGTATGCAAACCAATGCCTGGCTGCGGCCTTGAACTGGCAGACAGACTGCTCCAGTACATCTGCTGCCTCTCTGCGAAGCGACGAAGCAGCAACAGAATAAAACTGATACAAGACTGAGGTCCGTTGCACAGATGCTGCTACTCAGAAGCCTGTGGGCAGCAACAAAATAAAAGGGTCAAGTCAGTTTCAGGCTGCAAAAAACCATGAGAGAAAAGAAAAACAGTTTTCCTAGCTCTCGTTTACCTCTCACCCCCGTCCTGCCCCATAGCAGCTGGGAGGCCGTGGAGGGGTAGAATGGCAAAGGGTCTTTTTGCTGCATTGCTTCCTCCACTCTGCTCTCAGGAGTCGCTGGACAGCGGGGAAGAGAGAGCTCCTTTTCCCTTACAGCCAGGGTCTCCAGAACCCCACGAGCCGGAGGCAGAAACAATACATGGCCTAAGTCCTGGCACCTTCCCACCTCCCAGCAGCTATGCTTGATGCAAGCGCACAGCCCCTGGACCTCATTGGTAGCTTTCCCAGTTGTAACTTCCCTATTTACTTTCCGGCTAGCTGGTTTAGTCCCCACACTAGCTGTCTAGCAAGATTTTCTTGCCCTACTGGGCTAAGAGATCGGGGAAAGGGGGACTGTCGCTATTCCACCAGAAAGGTTTCTGAAGGGCAGTAATGTGCTGAGGTTAGCCCGTGGCTGATCTCCAGGGCAGTATCCCATAAGCAGAGAGAGGGAGGGAGAAGATACAGCAGAGCAGACCTGTCCAATTCCTGGGCCATTCAAGCAAAGTAGAGCATGATCCAATTTAACATTTCTCTGCTGTTACATCCTCATCCTGAGCAAGGAACTTGTGCCAATGTCCCTATAAAAAGAGGGAGCATTTGCTCATCTTCACCATTGCTAGGGCCCTACCAAATTCACAGTCCATTTTGGTCAATTTCACGGCGGCAGGATTTTAAAAAGAATAAATGTTATGATTTCAGCTATTTAAATCTGAAATGTCATGGTGTTGTAATTGTAGGGGTCCTGATCCAAAAAGAAGTTGTGGGGTGGGCACAAGGGGGGGGGGTCACGGTACTGCTACCCTTACTTCTTCGCTGCTGCTGGTGGGGCGTTGCCTTCAGAGCTGGGCAGCTGGAGAGCGGCGGCTGCTGGCCAGGAGCCCAGCTCTGAAGCCAGGGCTGCCATCAGTAGCAGTGCAGAAGTAAGGACGGCATGGTAGGGTATTGCCACCTTTACTTCTCTGCTGCTGGTGGGCTGCCGCCTTCAGAGCTGGGCGCCTGGCCAGCGGCTGCCGCTCTCCGGCTGCCCAGCTCTGAAGTCAGTGCAGAAGGAAGGGTGGCAATGCTGCAACCCCCCTAAAATATCCTTGTGACCCCCCCCCTTGCAACTCCCTTTTGGGTCAGGGCCCCCAATTTGAGAAACGCTGGTCTCCTCTGTGAAATCTGCATGCAGCATAGGCGCAAAAGCACACAAAAGGCCAGATTTCACAGTGGGAGACCAGATTTCATGGTCCGTGACCCGTTTTTCATGGCCCTGAATTTGGTAGGGCCCTAACCATAGCATAGCTGGCAAGGTATTAAAACATGCAATGGGGATTGGGCACTCCCCAACCTGAGCGTCCTCAGCCTGCGTTCTCTGCAAGGCCATGTTACTGTTTCACGAGCCTTGCTCTGCCATACCTAAGAAGTAACAATATTCATGCGTTTATTTTTGTGGGCTCGACAAGCAATAAGGCTTTCAGCTGACTGCCTCAGGGACTGCTAGAGACAGGTCAGTAGAACAGAGCAAATATTTACAGCAGGTCAGTCACAGGCCCGCATGGCTCCAAGCTCAGAGTCTGGAAAAAGCTGAAATCACCTAAAAGCACCCTGGTCAGCATTCTGTCGACAGGGAAGGAGTGCTTCACCTGCCAGGAGGCTGCAAAGTGACCTAGAGCAAACACAGGGGGCCTGTATCAGATGACTCTAGCACAGACATACTGACATGTTTCAGAGTAGCAGCCGTGTTAGTCTGTATTCGCAAAAAGAAAAGGAGTACTTGTGGTACCTTAGAGACTAACAAATTTATTTGAGCATAAGCTTTCGTGAGCTACAGCTCACTTCATCGGATGCACTCCGATGAAGTGAGCTGAAGCTCACAAAAGCTTATGCTCAAATAAATTTGTTAGTCTCTAAGGTGCCACAAGTACTCCTGTTCTTTTTGAACTAGACATGACAACTTTATGGACAGGATATTTAGGATTGGGGGAGGGGAGGGAAGAGTAACATCTTATCTTACCCACGAGGGTCATCTGAGTCTGCCCTCAATACGGGCCTGATCCAAAGGCCATTAAAGTCAATGAGCGGGCTTTGGGTCAGGCCCTATAAGTAAGGCCCTATTTAACTTGCGATATTGCAGAAATTGCTTCCACCGCAATTTTGACAGTGGGAGCCCTGGGTGGCCGTTAGTGGGGGCCCTGCTCTCAGTCCCGGGTGAGAAATGCAAAGGGGTGCCCAAGAGCTCAGGGGCGTCCTTCTTGCAGCTTTCCTAACTCATTAGAATTCAACCTACAGTAGTTATTACACGCCCCTTTCAACCCACATGCTCTCACACGTCATGGTCTATCTTAAAAAAAAGACAGATGTTGCTCTGGTAAGAAATTCTCCTCACAAAGATGGCTACTCCGTCTATCTGCCTCACTACCAATAGATGCCCAGAGCTGGAGGCCAAAAGAGACCATTAGTTCACCTAGTCTGACGTTCCGCATAACTGGATGAAATTTTATGGCCTGTGTTACTCCTGTGTTGAGATCAACCACTTGGGTGACACTTTCCACTGCTCCGATAACCTACGGGGCAACACAGAGCTGTACTGTACTCTCTCACTTCAATACATGACACCTGATGAGCTACAACTGAAGACAAAGTAAACAGAGCTGCCAAAAGGAAAGACACGTCGCACAGTGAAATCAAATTCCTGTTCCCTGGAAGCAGTGCAATCGCAGCAAGCCACATATCCAAGGGATAGGACTGAAGATGAGGGGGAAACCAAAACCAATGCATTTCACACTGAAGCACACACACACACACCCCTTTTGCTTTACGATGGGATGGAAAATTAGAGTTGCTTTGGGTGCAAAAAAGAATTAAAATATCGCCTAACATTTTTAATTAGAGGGCAAAATGGATCAGTAGGCTTAAGAGCCTATTCTTCCAATGATAAGGGGATTTGCATGTGTAGCTCACATTAGCATTAACAAGAATTACCTGCAGAAATACTCCATGAATGGATGGGAAAAAGAGATGCCACAATTAAAGAGCATGATGCAGCTATTAAAATAAGCAGAGCAGTCAAGTAACAGCTCCTCATAGAAGGGAATTCAGGCTACAGAGCAAAAGTTTGCTTGGGTTTTTGCACTTCAGTGAAATGCACTGGAAGAAACATGAACTTTCAGAAATGTTTAACAGGAGGACGAGCTTTAAAAAAAAAATTCTAAATCTAAGAAGGGCACCGAAGGGCCTGCACACAATGACAAGGACCGTACCCGGGCAATAAGAGAACACCCAGTCAAATGAAAACACAAACAGCCGTGCGGGGAACAGGCAAACCAGCAGGAAATAGGACGGGCCCAGTCAGATGTTGCTGAAGGAACAGATATGAACATTCCATGCCTCGTTTGCAAACTCATTCTGGAAGTTCATTGAAGGCTGGATGCCAAACCAAGCAGAGGAGCTTGGGAGAAGGTGGCAGGAGGTAGAGAGGCTTTTTCCAAAAAAAACAAAAAACAAAACAAAACACAAAACAAAACGCTAAAGCAGCCTGAATAATCTTAAAAGCAAAGTTACTAATCTGAAACTCCTGTTTGCTGATACTCCAGACATATGAGCACCTCATTGCTTGGATACATCCCTAAAAGATGTCTCCTATGTGATTTGGAGATGGGATCTACTGGTAAAAATTTCTCTAAAAATAGGATCAGTGGGGTTTTTTTAATCTATGGAGTTCATCTGATGAGGTTTGCCCTTTGGTGCATATAGCTCACTTAGGTTTTATTAGCCACTGTTATTCATAAGTGTCCCCTAGATGTAAAGAGTCAGAGAAGCAAGACTACACATGTCCTTCAATTTATTCTTACCTGGTAGCTGCGCCTCATCATTGTAAAAAGTAAATTAGTTTAGGGAAGGAAAAAGCCCAACATAACCACCTTTGAATAACCCAGGGATCAAAGCAGCAACCAGTAGCCCATTGGACATTAAAGCTCCAAAAACAAAGAGGTTGGATGGCAACTAAAATTAAACGTCACCTTCTAGAAGTAACTACCAAGCTCCTTATAATAGTCAGTTTTGGATGCAAAGAATGCAAGTCATGATAGCAAGCAAATGAGTTTAATTAGCAGCCTAACCTAATAGCATAGGGTGCTCCACTTTTGTGCTGCCAGGCGTGCACGTGCGAGTGGCAATACCAGCCGGTGCATTTTTCTATGAACTGCTGCTGGAAGCTTAACATTCAAATAGGGTGTGTGTGCGTGTGCGTCTGTGTTTGTATACACGTGCGCGGTTCTGAGTCATAGATGCATAGCTCAGTGGTTTACCCTCTAGAGCAGGATTTCTCAATCCATGGGTCGTGACCCAAAATTGGGTCACCAGAACGTGTCAAAGGGTTGTGTGGCAGGCCCGGAGGGGCAAGGGAAGGAGCATGGCTGGGCCAAATCTGAGTGAGTGGCACTGCAAACCCATACACCAGGTTGCAATTCTCGGTGCAGGGAGCTGAGCCGAGCCCAGGAAGCCTTGTGGGACTGGAACCGCAGAAGCTGACACAATGGTATGCACAAGTGTATATTATGCATCATGGGTAAGAAATATTTAATAAGCCAGATGTTTTTTGTGCTAAAGCCATTTACTAAGTTGCAACAGGCCATCAAGGTTTACAACTGGGGTCCTGAGCTCTAGAGCTCAGGTCAGCTAGGCTGAAAAAAGCGAGATACCATGCGTGCAATTTGCCGACTGATGAAGAAGCGCAAATCCCACTGGCTTACAGTGGGACTTGTGCTCCTAACTCACCCCAGTTGCTGCAAAAATCCCACCCTACAACTCACATTTTCAAAATGGGCAGAAGCAGCCACCTGTGTGCACAGCACTTTGCAATTGCGCATACAAGGAAAGCTTTGTGCACATAGCTCAGGAGACCGCTTGAAACCATGGACTCCTAAATTTTATGACATTCCTTACCTCTTGTCTCCCCAGCTGCACCCCCATTTCATTGCTACAGATCACAGATCGTAGTTAGTCTAGTTGAACAATTTTAATGCCATAGTAAATCAACTAAGGTTTAGCTATTTTTAAAGTGCTCCATTATTAAAAATTCCAATTATAGTCAGCAAAAAAGCTCCAGAGTACAAACACATTAATTTGGCACTCATGAAACTGTCCGTGCTCCAGGAAAGGGTGTTCCATTTCTGCACACCATTACCTAATGGATGTAAAAGCATCACAACAGAACTAACGTCCAGCATGCAAAACTCGGAATTAAAATGCAAGTCTAGGTCCCCTGACTCATCTCTACAAAAATTCTGTGAAGAGTAAATTGATTCTTCACATTTCTTCAGCTACCAATACCCTTCCACAGACTAAAATCAACAGTTAAATGTCATTTACTATTCCATATGAACGGGTTGGAGCACATTAGCATGAGTCCTGAATTCATCATTCATGAGACACTGACGTTAGCTCTAAGGCAAATCTTAACTTAGCTTTTAATCCTTCAATTTCCACCGTGTCCAGTCATCATCTAATTTAAATAAAAAGCGTCAAGTAACATCCAATAAAATCATTATTACTATTATTTTAATACTGTCTCATAATGTTAACAACAAATGCAGAAGACACCTTGGATTGGCACTGTTTGTTTAAACATGACTCAAAAGCCACACAGAAACAGAGATTAATAAATACTAAGAGACAGCTTTAATATTTTAGTCAGCCTGCAAGACAAAAATAAAATACTTCAAAAAGAACAATGAGTTTTAAATCCAGTGTAGCTCCAGCAAAGCTACTAGTTAAGCATCCAGGAAACGGGCTCTCTTTTCTCCATTCTAAGGTGGCAAACGTCTGTCTTTCAATAGAAGCCTTGAGTTCTAGGTGTTGTTCATTTAGGCCATGATCCTGCAAGCTGCTCAGTGGGTCTCTGGACTGGCAGAGCAGCTTGTAGGATCAGTGTCAGTCCCTGCATCACAAGTAACCTTCAGGTGATTACTTTCAGCTCAAACTAATGAAAGAAGAGGACACACAGGCAATACCAATACCCTGAAGCTAATGAACACATACAGGTCAAAACCATCTGACAACTACATTGCACTGTACAACAGTTTCTGAATGTTTGTACTTATCACTACTCTACACGGTGCAGGCTCTAAATTTCCCCTGGCTTTTCAATTGGACGCATGCTGTTCTTAACGTCCGACCCTGTACTGTTGGGCAGTAGTTCCGTGTGTTGTTAAATACACGTGGTGTTACATCCCAGAGGCGACTGCATTTCGCCTACGTTTGTTTAAAAAAGAAACACCCAACTTTCTTTGGAATCCTTGAAGATGAAACACTACGCAAATGCAAGGCATCAGTATAAACAAGTTCGCAATTTTTTTTTTCAGCTGATGAGCAAGATGCCAGTTGTGCCTAAAGCCGCTTGTAGCCACTGGTGGAATTCAAACAGTCTAATTACAATGACCTTATAGATTAAACAGGACAACTGCGGACAGCAGCCCATTCCCAATAGTCATCATTGACCTACACTGCAGAGCCTGCAAGCAATCCTAGTTGGCTTCCATGGACTTACTATTTGCAAAGCATATGTACGTTCACCAATGAAGAAGCACTTGGCAAAGGGAAAAGAAGAGCTATGATGCTGTATTTGTTTCATAGGGGAAAGGATCAGATCCACAGGCTTCATACAAGAACCTGGGGTCACCCAATGAAATTAATATGCAGCAGGTTTAAAACAAAAAACATAAGGAAGTATTTCTTCACACAGTGCACAGTCAACCTGTGGAACTCATTGCCAGGGGATGTTGTAAAGGCCAAAACTATAACTGGATTCAAAAAAGAATTAGATAAGTTCATGGAAGATAGGTCCATCAATGGCTATTAGCCAAAATGGTCAGGGATGCAAAACCATTCTCTGGGTGCCAGATGCTGGGACTGGACGACAGCGGATGGATCACTTGATGATTGCTCTGTTCTGTTCCTTTGCTTTGAAGTGTCTGCATTGGGCACCATTGGAAGACAGGATACTGGACTAGATGGACCATTGGTCTGACCCGGTATGGTCATTCTTATGTTCCAACAACTCTAACAAATAAAAATTCAAAATGTTTCCTTTGGAACAAAAAGGATGTCCTCCCCTTTGGTCTACTTACTGTGCAGGTAATCAGCCAGGTCACCACCATTGCAGTACTGGAAACACAAGAGAACAACAGAAGTTTAGTTAGCATTGGGCAGGTTGGCAAAGATTTAAAGAACAGAGGAAGCAAAATTAAGTAAAATGGGAACTCCATAATGATGTTTATATCATGGGATCAGGAAAGGAACCTGGGAGTGACTACGAGTAAGTGTTCAAAGCTCACTCAATTATGCTCCCTCGCCAGTAAGGAAGCGTCCAATGAGATCTCAGAAGAGAACATAGAGTATATATGAGGTTTGGCAGCTCTACAACTATAACGTGTGGAGAAGTTGTTCTTTCTATGAAATTGCTCATTAGTGAATAGTAGGTGGTAATGTATATTCCCCTTCAAGATAAAAAGTCTTCCCAGTCAAGCCTAAATGCTAAACAGGCATTCCGGCAATAGAGAGATTAAAAACAGCCTAGGGCTTGAGCTCTGTTATGCTTGAACTTAGTGCTCTTCACCCCCTTCAGCTTCACGGACGTGCACCTGCAGATTCGATAGCAAGAGGAGCTCCAACTAGACCATGCAACAGAGAAGCCCTATCCAAATAAAAGGTCTATCCGCTTTGTAAGGGTATCAGAATAACTCACCTCCATAACCAAGTAGACAGAGTTTGCCAGTTCCTGGGGAAAAGGAAAAAAAACAAAAGATTTAAGCATTTGAAGGTCAGAAAAGTTAGCGCTATTGTGCACCTGAAGGAAAAAAATAAGTTAGTAGTTTTGGGGGGGTAAAACCTCCTCTCTGCCTCATGATCCCCAAACCGGGGATGGGAAACTATCACAGATCTTCCTTGCAATGGGCATTACGAGGATTAATTAATGAAGACAAAGTGTGCCGATTAAAATGCTATATAAGCGCCAAGTATTTCACAGAATATTAGGGTTGGAAGAGACCTCAGGACGTCATCTAGTCCAATCCCCTGCTCAAAGCTTCCCAGCCAAGGCTTTGTCAAGCCAAGCCTTAAAAACCTCTAAGGCTGGAGATTCCACCACCTCCCTAGGTAACCCATTTTTCACACAGAGTTGAGCAAGTTATTCATTTCTGAGAGCATATCCCTTTAACAATGCAAGTCTCTTCTTCCGGCTTTGGTCTTGGTATTCCTTTAGGGCTCCCAGAGATTACCAGCATTATTTCCATACAAGGAGCACCTATGTGAGGGAAGGGGAAAGGAAACGTGCAACTCAGCTCAGAACTGGAAGTGCTGCTGAAACACAGAATTGGGATCTGCATTTCAACCCCTCTAGCTCAGGTTTGTTTGGAGGAAAAGTCTTGGTTTTGCCCATTGTGGAGGTTGGAGGGCAGAACACAAATGTTGATCTAAACTCCTATCAAGTTCAAAGTGTTCAAATCTTGGGCTTTTGGTTGGAGACATTTCTAATTAAAATTTATCTTAAAGGAGTTGTTAAGGGGGAAAAAAAAGAATAATTAAGGATTCCAGGAGCTACTAAAGAATCAGCCCCTGAACCAGTAGCCAAGATGCAGGCATGACTCTGGGACACATTTCATTCTAACAATAACATGACTCAGTAATCAAGGACATACAGAAAACAAGCCCTTCCCAGCCTGCTGGTGGCATTTGACCTTTCCTCTGAGGCCTTAGAATGTAAGCAAGGCACCAGGGAATCCTAGTGCAACTGTGCACCTTATCACGTCATGCTGTGTTCACACAGATTGTAAGTTCAAATTGAAGTCTTGGTTGAGCAGTGTAGCTTTTTTGCCTTATTTCTAAATGAACATGAACATAGAGCAATATTTAAAGACACCAACACATGAAAGGGCTTGATGTCAGCATGCAGCTAAGGTTCTCTCCAAATGTGGAACTTTGTGAGAGCCAAGTCTGGCATCAAATCCCAAATGGACAGTTGTTCTTCGAGAGTTTGTTATGTGCACTGCCTTGGAATGCTCTCTCCCACCTTAAATGCCCTCTCTATCGGTCCCCAGTCTTGGCTTTGTACACTGCATACAAGTATGGGGCCTGATGGAGCAGTGTTCAGAATGGAGAAGGCTGTTTAGAATAATACATTGAAGGGAGCATCTATTTACACAGTAGTTCAATGCTAGCAGCTTCTCACTCCTAAATACATGGAATTGCCATGAGAAGGTAGGCCAGAGGTGTTATCCTTACTACCCCCTGATGAATGGGTTATTCTCAACCTCCTTGCCCCAGCAAAAGCCAGACAGACGTTATGAAGGAAGTAACAGATTCAGTAGAACCACGATAATAGTAGCTACGCTAGTATTTTCTATCAGAGTAGGGCAACCTAGACTTAACCAACGATACAAGCTCTTCCAAATTCCCAGAGGAGTTCAAATCCTGCTCAGGCCCTCTATGGAACGAGCAATATGGTCTTCAAAAATGGGACAATTATCAAGGAAAATGTGACATCCATTCTTTAATAATGGCCCTAGTTTTTCCTGTGTCTCCTTTAACATATTATTATTGAGGTACTGCCTCTGGACCCCCCTCAGAACTCCATTGTGCTAGAAACTGTACAAACAAGTAAAACACAGACTGTCCCTGCCCCTGAGAGCTCACAGTCTAGGACTATGACAAGACGCAGCACCGGGTGGGGACAGGACAAGGTAACTAACTGTGAGAGCATTTGCAAAACTCAGTAGTCAGTGGCATTCAGTTGCTAAAAACATGCCTATTCTAAGCTCTGGGCACCTGTACAAGAACACACCCAAAAATGTTATTAATTTAAGGATAACATTTTTCAGAAGTACCTAACGTAGGTGCATAAGACCCATTGACTTTCAATTAGCCTTAGGCACCGAAGTCAGTTCTGAAAATGTTACCCTAAATAATCATCAGCCAGAGGCTCTCCTTCACCCTCCCTGCCTCAAGGTCCCCACCTCTGTCTATTTACAGACTCCTTAAATGGGCCTTGCTGTGTCTCTCTTAAATCAATCTGAGGAAATACCTGTCCACATCCTAAAAGCCACTCTCAGCTCAAGTAAGACCTGGCACTGGAAAACAAAGGTTGCAACAACTTATTTACGTGGAGGTGCTTTGACATCTGGGGCAGAGCAAGGAACTGAGCCCCTCTCTACCTTATCCCAGTCCAAAGCCTTAGCTACCAAATCATTCAGCATTTGCCACACTGTTCTCCTCATTTTGCAGGGCTTCAAAAAGCATCAATCTTCACCCCCCCCTCAAAAATGTGAGCTTTAAAAGCAGCCCCCAGCCCCTCCCCATTGCTCCTTTCATCCCTGCCTGCTCAAAGGATTCTGCAGTCTGTCAAGTCTGTCATAACAGCTCCTTTTGTCAGGGCCTCGCCCACCTCTTAGTAGTTCAGCTTCAGATGCATGGTGGAAATGACATTTAGAGTTTCAAGGGTTGCAAGCAAGAGTTAAATATATTTTAGTTGATCTCTAACTACCTGCATAGAAGCCAAGAAACAGAAACATGCAAAGTAAGCGGCCTTCCCCCAACAATGCATTTTAAGAGGGGATGCAAATGATCAGCAGCCTGGCAGCGTGTGTTCCAACGGTTCCCCAGGTTCAAAGTGCTCACCAGAGCAAAGGGCTGGCAGTTTGCGGCTTTCACAGCTGTTCCAGTTACCAGGCCAAGCTGAATTTTAAAAGGTCTCTTGCGTTCGGCCAATGAGCAATTTACTGCGATACTTTCGAGAGTGTCTCTATTGCATTTCTGTCTAGGACAACAACTGCATGAGACAGGGCCTGGATTCCAGCCCCTGCATTGAAAAGAAATGCAAGCTTCGACCCAACCTGCTTTCACATTCTATTCAAAACGGTCTGTGCTTCCAGCACTGATCAGGAGTCGGAGGGTCTGAGGATTATTCCCAGATGTATAGCCAGAGACAGTCACTTGGCACCCAATTTTCAGAAATGCTGAACACCCATCAACAGGCATGAACTTCAGCTGAAACCCGTGAGAGATCAGAACATCTGAAAAAAAGAATCAAGGCCCTTTAACCTCTTTGTGCCTTAATCTCTCTGCCTGTAAAACAACACTACTTACTTAACTAGCAAGGGTGTTGGGAGGATTAATTCATTACTGATGGAGGCATATTCTAGCTTATGCAAGTTAAGCACCATACATGCTTGCAAAACCCTCTTATCATTGATGACACAAGAGCTAGTATGGATGGAACAGATCTGTTAGGTTATTGTATAATTTGGTCTTCCACCTTCGTAATTTGTCTTGAAGTCAGTGGAAATGTAACAGAAGAGGATTTGGTTCGGTAGTTAGTGTGCATACACGACACTCCATTCAACTTGCCTAGCAACAGAGTGTGCTTCAGGTTTTACCATTCCAGCCTAGGAGGCAGAAGAAGCAAAGAAATACCTGAAAGTCACTCATCAGACAGCAAGCTTCTAGCTGCTCTAATTAAGAGATACAGTGTCCCTCCTCCAGCGACAGCATTGTCGGTGTGTTTCAAACCTCGCTAGGAAGCAGTATGACATTTCTGCTATAGATCAGGTTTGATGCAAATTCATGCTAAGATTGTGCGCAATCATCCATCATTTCCAATGGAAAGTGCAATGGTCTCCCCTCGTTTCCATTTTTTAAAAAGCTACAGATTCATAATCCAAAATGTGTTGTGTGTGTCACTCTTCCATTTATGACGCAAACATTTCACACGAGCATAGCTCACAGCTTCTCTGTAGCCGGGCTGTGTCTGGAGTCAGAGAACAAACTGAATGGGGCTTGAGGCAGGGTTGCATTTGAAATTTAGTTATCTAGAGGGGGTTTACAAGTACATGCCAGGAGGTTTTCCATACTTTTAGCCATCTTAGCCAGCATTGTTTACGTCATCAGGCGGGTCTGGGGTATCATGCTGAAGATCCCCAAAGCCAAACTACGGTCATACACTTTGCTTGGGGAAAACTCACTGTCACTGGGATTGTAATAGATGGAGTAGTTTAAGAAGACTCCGAATATTCTCTCTTTTAAAGCTCATTTACAAAAACCCTTGGAAGTTCAGAACCGAAACCTGTTTCTTTTCACTTGTCATCTCTCCAGTGCAGCTGGGTTTTGTTCATTAAGAAACAAAACAAGGAAACATACAGCAGGCCAGACTTTGGGCCTACCAACCTCTTTGGGCTCTTTGAGGCAAACTGAAGTGCCCAGAACATTCACTTGCACGTTAATCCTGAGAATACTATTCCAGTTCTTTATTCCATAGCATTCCATTACTATCTACAAACCAACACGCATGCACTGGGAGAGACAAACCAATAGTTAAGGAAACATGATTTTAATTTAGCAGTGCAGCAGAAGTTGCTGTAGACCAGCACTGTGCTGGACTCCTTAATGTTGTCCAATTGTGGAAACCTATCAAGGATGGTTCAGTTTGTTACAACATCTAAGGCCTAACAATAGTGTGACCCTTTACATTCCCCTTCCAGACAGATTGGAAGGTGGCATATCAAAAGTGAAGCAGACATATCAAAATTAGTTTTTCCTGACCTAGTTTGTCATCATTCTCCTGTCTCTATCCTGGAGCCTGGCCTACAGCCAAATTTAACACAATGGTTAGGAGACAAAAGGTAGAGGTGTCATTTTTCTTGCAACTATGACAACCCCATTCAATAAATGCACTATTTACACTGGTCTGTATGGGACTGGGGACAACAGGAGACCAGAAAAAAAATA